AAATTTTAGGATAGCCTATAACTTGGAATTCATGATATTATAATACAGCAAAGATGCTAGATTAGAGAAGAGTGGTCTAATAGGAATACTAACTATATTCTATAATGAATTTATCTTTGAAATAATCATGCAAATGAAAAGTTCTTGTTTTATACCATAGGTTCTTGGATTTATTTCCAATTTTTGAAATGCTTTGCAGAGCAATATGAATGCCCATGCATTTGTGCACATGAACACACATGTACATGATTCAGAGTGAATAGTTTCAAATAAATTACTATAATTCCTTCAGAGCCAACAGAATATTGTCCACCATTGCCTTACTAAGAAATCTGGAAAAAGAGTAGATATTCATTTTAAGATATGTAGAATTGCTTGGTTTACTATTTGTGAAATATTGTACATTTGTAGAGCTACTTATTTGTTTCATATTTTCAAACTAAATTTGGAAAATGAAACTTTTCTTTTAGAAAACCCTTTTGGATTAAGCCAATTCTTTTATTCTGTTTTTCAGGGAAACATTCTGATTATTTCTATTTCTATAGCAATAGGACATTAGAAGGAAGGAAGGAAGGAAGGAAGGAAGGAAGGAAGGAAGGAAGGAAGGAAGGAAGGAAGGAAGGAAGGAAGGAAGGAAGGAAGGAAGGAAGGACTTTTGATTTACTAAGAATCAGAAGACCCCAGGAATAGTATTTTTCCACTGCAAGAAGCTTCCATTGCCATCTGTCACACGTGCCTTCAGGATGCAGAAAACACAGGTGTGAAGAAAATTAGTAATGCTTTTCCAGTCACAATATGAGCAGCCATTGAGAAGATCCAGACATAATTTTTCAGCCTTTGTCAAGCTTGGAACTAGGAGTTTGGCCTCTAGAACATTTTTCTCTTCCTCCATGAAATTACATCAGCAATAATGAATCACCCCAAACATGGGAAGGAAAAGAAAGGCCATGCATATGAGTCAAAAGACTCATCTGACCTAAATCATGCTCTTTGTGTTCAAGGCAAGAAGGATCCACAAACCATTACAGGCCTTCTTTCATGAATCATGGTCATACAGTATGTAAGGGGATTTGCCACATCTAAGCCAAATCCTGACCTATAAATTAGGAAGCAAGATTATTTGTGGCACACCCTCCCTACAAGAAATGGCAGACTGCTTGCCATTAAGGGCGTGAGAACTTCTCCACTTTTACAAATAAAGCATAATTCTCTTTACTATTATCTTCATCTAACTCCATAGCGGTAAGAGAAATATGGTGGACTATCACCTCCAGGATGCCATAGAGAAAAACTAGAAGGGAGAACACAACAACCAGCAGCAACTGAGGTGGGCATGTAATTGATAAAAGGAACAATGTTGCAGGTGTAGATCATTTAACCTGAGAGACTATGCCTCAATGATTGGTGGGAGAAGGGCCACTGAGATATCAATTGCACTTTTCCTGAAAGCAGAAAGAAGTCAAATTTCAACTATAAGATGGATGCCAAAACGTATTTCCTGTTCTGATCTTGTGCATTTAGAAGCCATGGGCCCAGACTTGTTTTTCTCCTTGCTATTAATCAGGATGGATACAAGAGATTCATCAAACTGTTTTTCTTTCAGGAAAGGTTTGGATAGTAAACTGGTTTTGGATTAACAAACTCCTTCAAGTGCTTGAACCAAAGATCCTGTGAGCCAAAGTTCCTGGCATATTGATGTGTATGAATGCTCTAGCCCTAGTACAGAATTAAAGGCATTCCACCAAAGAGTTAAATGATCTTTAGTAAAACCAAATGGCAAAAAATAAAAATAAAAAAAATGGTGCATGTGGGAATTCAGCTCCACTAGGCATGTGAGTGTTAGAAACAGTCCATCTGGGATGTGATTTGGAATTTCATGAAAAATAAAATCAAGAAGCAACTATCCATCCTCATAACTTAAGAACAAGGTAAAGCATTTCAGGGTACTTCAAACAAATAAATATCTTTTAGAGACCATTGCCACACAGAGCGTGCCCTCAGAAAAGTGTGTCTTAAGTGTGTCTATATAATTCCTAAGAATAATAAGACTGGAAAATTAACCTTACATATGCTGTCCTTAGAGTCTATGTTTTTTTTTTAATCTAGTAGGATTGAACACTGGGTGCCCATGGTCTCCTATCCTAGAGGCCACTTTTACACCAGGCCTTGACTACTTTACATATGGAAATTGAAGAGGAACAGCTCAAGACTGGATATCTGTTAATACTAGCTGTTTATTGTTTAGGTATGCAGCTTCCACAAAAAAAAGAAGAAAGAAAATGAAAAAGAAATCTAGACAAACCAGCAGGACTTCTAGATGTATTACAAAGGCATGTGAAAAGGCAGGTTTAAGGTTTCCTTTAAGTCATACAAGTGGCTGCTAGTTAACATTATGAAGACAGGCAATCACATTGCTTCTCCAGGACGTTAGAGAATACCCCACCTTTTCAGCCATCTTAGCTACCTTAGTGATAGTACTCATCTCTTAAGAGTATTCCAGAGGACCCATTCTTTCTATGTGGCACTTTCCATTTAAAATTGATTCTCCAGGCACTAACAGACAGGGTCCAGTTACAATTTTGATCTGGAGAATTATTTATTAATGCTTCTTTATTAAGTGCCATTCAGGGAGGACTTGTGTATTTTCCACTAAGGCAGGATGTCTTACAAATGGATTGCTGCTTTATTTGTAAAAAAATAAAAATAAACTTTTCAGTGATCACAACAAAACATTTGACCATACTTTTTTTACCCATACTCATCGCATGCAGGAAGTATACTAGGTGCAGCTGGACATATTCAACACACTTAGATTTTACTTAAACTCAATTAGAATTTTGTCAGAGACCCCTGTATATCCTGTAAAGTGGGGAATGAAAGAAAGAGGATCTTCTTCACTCTTAACCATTCAGTTAGGAAATGCAACTATAATATACTCAACAAAAGGCAAATAGATTTTCCAAAGAATCATGGTCTGTTCAGTTTTGAGAGGAACAGTACTGATAACCTTGAAAGCAGAGTTATCTCTGATATACACCTCTGATGCAGTTGCTTGGACCAACCTTTCTACTTTAATTTGGCACTACAACATAGATGTTCCTGTTCTTGCTTATACAACTGTGCAGAAAGTGTTTGAGGATTATCAAGCCCACCCTGTAGGGCATGCTTTTTGTATGACTTCCATCATTCCAAAGGCCAAGAGACTAATACTTGAATGCTCCATGTGGTATCTTCCCAGTCAAGCGGATGATAGAACTGGGGAAGAAGCAAACAGCTTATCTACCAGATATATTTAGGCTATTTATGCATCTCTTTATTTTAATGTAACTTTGTTGTTTCTATTCAACTAGTTTCAGTTTATTGATTGCAAGTACAAATAGAAATGGCCAAAATGAGGCATTCAGCAATGAAACATATTGCTTTTCTCCTGAAACATTTTGTCTACCCAAATCTGTACATTCTGGGTCTGATTAGTGCAACTCCAGAAGCATATTGGCCAGAACAGAAAGTGGTTTTTTGTCTAAGAATATTTTGGCATGTCCCCAGTAATGTAAAAGGTAAAGTCAGTTTCAGTGATTGAAGGAGATTGTCCAGAGCAGAGGAAGAAAGTTCTTTAAGGACCCTGCCTTCTGATTTGTGGAGATGTAAACTCATTATTACTGGGTCCATTGTTGGTGACTGGAAGGATACCTCATGGTATGTCCAACACAGTACCATTCTGGGGTAAAGGAAGGGTCAATGAAGCTTTTAAAAACAGAACTATTACAAAATCATTAATTCAGACTATGAACTATAATGTACCATGATTTTATTGCTTAACAATTTTGGAAAATTTTCAGTCAGATGGTAGTGAAGTAAAAGGAAGCACAAAATATTTGGGTGAAGGAATGGTTTGATTTCTCGAAGACATTCCTGAGTATCTGCCAACTTACATAAGGATTTTCTTTTTAATAGTAAAAAGCCACAAAAACTCAGACCATCTGAAAAGAGACATAATGCTAGCTTGAGTGAAGCCATCTTCCAGGCATCTGTTTTTGCTCCTGCCTAGCAATCTATGATGATTAAACTAAATTAGGAGTGAGTCTATTCTTTGTAGCTTATTTTGTACTACAGTATCTCTATGTATCTCTCTAAGACCCAACTATGGAACTTAGTTATTAGCGTTTCAATGGTCACTACTATTATTGACTTGGTGTCTGTGTTTTTTATCAATAAAAATATGGTGAAAATATACTAAAATGTGTGAGCTATATATATGTTACATAATAAATCATATACTGAAGAAGTAGACAATAGATTTATATTAGGTGATTTAGTACAGCCTAGTTGTGCAAATATTTCTATAGTGTGTATGGTCTTTCTGATTGGGAATCAACATCATTTAATTGCACATTTCTAACACTGCATTGGATTACAAAATAAATTCTATTATATTATGGGTTTGATGCACATATTAGGAGAATATTTGCCTTTATGTAACCAATCAATATGGGATGTAAAAGATCATGTTGCTGATATGGATTAATTCTCTTTTTGCTGTTAAAATGGACTATTCTTATTCTCATAGAATATTGTACAACTGTGGTTCTTCTAATTCCAACTTGCTGGTTCTACAACACAGATGTAAAATTAAGTCTGCAACAACCATAACAAGAGTTAGTTAAATCTGAACCAGGACTGTCTTACAAATCCTAAAACATAACTCTTATTTTAACAATCTTTAATTGATGAAAATAATAGACACAAAAATTTGGAAATTAGTAATGTTTAGCAATTAGATATTTTCCTGAACAGGAACAATAGGGCCTATAGTTACCTCAAGAAGTTATTTAATATTCTTTAAGGGTGCGTATTATTTTCTTATAGTTCTGTTTCTTCACATGTCATGCCATCCAATGCTGTGTTTCCGTGGCTCTCTTTGAAGGTCACTTCTGCTACAATTGTGACTTAAGGTATTCAACCTGTTTATAAGTCAAAACCTGCCTCATCCTTGTCCTTAGGTATGTGGCCATATCTCGAGAGGAAAGAGAGCAGAACCTAATGGCATTTCAGCACAGTGAGAGGATTTATTTTCGGACTTGTCGGGACATCCGGCCAGGGGAGAAACTGAGGGTCTGGTATAGTGAAGATTACATGAAGCGGCTGCACAGTATGTCTCAGGAGACAATCAACCGAAACCTCACAAGAGGTGAGATATTTTTTTTTCCCTTTTCTTTCCTTTCACTATTTGTTCATGTCTTTGTTTTTGACCCAGTTACCAGGCAGTTCTTACAAAATCATGTATGTGAAGAAATCAACAAATAAAAAAATCATCAATGTAAAATAATACATAGTGTAAAATAATAACTATTTTACACTGATAATACAGATAATACAGTTGAAATGGATCCATCAGATAAAATATATAAGGGATATGGGGAGAATTTCATTTAATATATACTGAAAACTAAGAAGCATTGTCTTGAAGGAGATATTTTTGGCTTGATTTTGGGGAGGGGAAGGGGATAAATAGGGCAGATACAGTGGCTGTGGTACAGTTGTAATGTCCTTTTCAGTTTGCAAATACCTGTATCTTTCTGGCAAACACAATGGTTATCATGATATTTAAATCTGACAATGAGGTATTCAACAAATATACCAGATTATCTTTATATACCAAATACTGATGAGTGCTGGAGAATGAATGATTCCTCCACTGACAGAGATCAAAACTTAAACATTCAGAATTAATTGGGAACTTTCCAAATATATCCAGAAATTAGGACAAAGATATCCTGATCTCTAGATATGCACCATTATGGGTTTTGCTTCCTTCTTAGTGTAGAGGTCCACTCTCAAAAGTACTTTAAAAAGGAGCTTCCCATAGTTGATAGCAGATAGCTGATTAAAGTTGATGGTTGAAAGAAAGGAGGAAGAGGATCCACATGAAATTATTTTTCCTGTTATTTTTCTGAACACTATCATGCCCAATTTATTTATGTAATGTATTTTGCATGAAGCTGTATGTTGTCCTTAAACTTGAAGCAAACATGGAAGAGGTAGTATCTCCCAATTTTCTTTCTACTAATTGGAGCTTCTATATGCTTTAAAACTTATTCTCTGCAAGTGCTGAGAGAGATGCTGATAATTGAGTCATAATTAGCTGGTGCTCAATGTGTGCAAGTAGGCTTATGTAAATACACACTTTCTTCATTACAGAACTGTAGAAATGACTATATTTATTTATGAAAAGGTTATTGTTTTTAGTTTTATTTTTTGAGTAGCCACAATCTTAGTTAAAGTTAAAGGTAGTTCTCTTACATTTCTAAGCATTTTGATTTAAAAATGTGGTATCAATTGGAATAAAAAATCATAAGAGGTTAAAAAAAACTGACAAGTTTAAAAATCAGCATGGTACTCAGTATTCAAAGTGGTGGCTATCCAAACTGTGTTTCCTTATTTCCTGACCTGAGTGTATATGTATGTGTGTGTGTGTTTCTGGAGTAGTACATGAGTTCAGTTCAAAAGATCATTAGGAACAACATCAAAAGCTCAAAACACCAGTTGCTCATAGACAGAGCAATCACCCAAGACTCAAGGTCTAGGCAGACCAATCTGAGCACAGCCTGGATTGACTACAGGAAAACCTATGGCTCAGTGCCACTCACATGGATCTCTGACTGCCTACACTATACAAAGTGATCAGGACACTGAGGACCTTCCTCAAGAATTCAATGGGACATTGGAAGATAGCACTGAAAGTTAACACAAGGAAGCTCACACAAGTGGCCATCAAGTGCAGTATATACCAAGGTGATGCACTGTTCTCTCTGTTGTTCTGCAAAGGTTTTGGCCTCCTCAGCCAGATATTCACTAAGAACTGGATATGGATACAAGTTCAAGCATGGAACTAACCCCAGCTGTCTCCTCTAAATGGATAAAATCAACTTTTATGTTAAGAATGAACTTGCTGACAAATCTACAGTGAAGAATGTGGCCAAGATAATAGTCAAAAGTGAGAAAGGAGTTAAGATCGATGAGGTGCAACTACCAGTGGGCCACATATCAAACATACAAATTAGTTACAAGTATCTCAGTATCCCACAATCACATGGGAACAACAGTGGGGGATGCAAGGAAGACAGCAACATCAAGTACCATCAAAAGGTAAGTCAGCTCAATGGGAAAAACAAAATCCATGTCATTAACATGTATTCTTAAGAGATCTGCCGGTACAATGAGCTGGTCAAAGCAGGACATGGAAGCTGCTGATGTGAAGACCCAGAAGCTCCTCACAATGTACAGAGGTTTCCACCCCCAAGTTCCCAGAGATTATGCACCAGCCAAAAAGAGGGCAGGTGGCATCTGGTGAGTGTTAAAGCCACTGTCCTGGATGAAACCCAGAACATCCGGGAATATATCAGTAAGATAGCACTCAAAGATGTGTTGCTGAGAGAATGTCTGAAGCAGCAGCAGACATGGGAGAAAGATCAAGCAGTGCCATGGCAAGACAATACTCTGCATAGGATGTACCATTGACAGATAGCTGAGGTGGCAGACATTGGGAAATCCTACCAGTTGGATTAAAAGATAGCACCGAGGCACTAATTATAGCAATAAGAGGCACTAAGCACCAGATCCAATGAAGCAGGTGTCTACACTAGGCAGAACCTAAGGTCTAGACTATCCAGAGAGGCCTCACGGACAATCCAACACATAATGGCAGGGTATAAGATGTAAGCAGAAATGCATTCACTGAAATAGCTGGCATCGTGTACAGGAATACCTGCACAGTGTATGGGTTAGATCTTTCCAAGATGGAAGAATCCACAGAAGCTTATGGAGAATAACAGGGCTAAGATCCTGTAGGACTTTCAGATCTATACAGACAGACAGGTACTGGCCAACCAACCAGTGTAAGTGTTTGGCATCTACTAAGTTCCTGTTGACCAAGTTATGAAGCTACTATGGTCATGTTTTCTCTCCTCTGATTACTGATTAGTGCCTTCTACAGCCACTTTGGATTAGATTAGTGGAAAGATCAGACATTTGATTTCTGGAGAAATTCTGCCTATTTAATGCTTGATCCATACTTTATAAACACAGTTCAGGCATTACTTTGAGGTAATGCTAGCAATAAGTACTATATTTGAATCAAGTGTTTTATTATCACAGTGTTTTATTATCACATATGAAATATCTAATGGTCTGTGGAACCTCTTTGGATGAATTTATTATTTTGCAATGGAAGAACTTTACTTTCAAATTGTAATCTGGTGTTATATCAAGAGTCAGAACTTTTAATGTCTTCTATTGCTCACCAAATGAATTCCAAATATATCTCTTTAGATAAAAAAAACAGTCAATTAAACACATCCCATGGCCCATACTGCTGATAAACTAATTTTTAAAAAAATATCCAAACATTTGGATCATCTGTGCAAAGTTGTAATGTTTATATTTACATCAAAACCACAATTGAACATGACTTAGGAGAGACAGTTTATTTAACTTTACCAATACCAACAATATATAGTACTTTTGTCTTGATGCTTTGACTTGGTAAAAGAAATTATAATTTCAAATGCATACTTAGTCTCTGTTTTATTCACATACTTCTGTGTATGTATATGTATGCATGCACGCATGTATTGTAAGCAAATCCTTAAACAGAAAAAGGCCAGATGCAGAAAATTTGCTGGAAGCAAAGTTTCTTCTTTTGCCTTTCTCTAGTTCAGGATTAAGATTGTGAAACAATTAAAGTTATGGCTAGCTGTTCTTGGATTATGAAAACATACCAGGTCAGTGGAAGCAAATTCTATATAATATAGAATAATAATTAGGCAATTGAATATATTGTTAAAAACATATCTTAACATTAAGATAGTAGTGAGTAATGGTCTGAGGAATGAAGCAGATCTATTATATATCCTCTATATGGAATTACCAAGGATCATACTGCTGAGATTTGTCACAAACTGTTAATGTTTGGTTTTGTAATTTTTCTTTTTAAAACACACACTACACATAAACACCCATACACCCATACACACCCTTCAAGACTCCCCTGGAGCCTAAACAAATCATAATAAACATGCAGTCCCCAGCTGCAAAAAATAGTACTATCCCTGCCTTAAGAATGATGCAGCTAGCTCTGTTCTACCAGCTCCTGAAATCTCAGGGAAGAAACTATCCTTGCATACTCTCAATCTGGCAGCACTGGATGTTGTTCACCTAGAACTGGAGAGTTTGAGATGGGAACATGGCTAACAATGCTTAATAGTTTGTGTATCTTGAATGTGGAATTTGGATTTTGAATTTTCTATTTTGCCTTATCCTGGAGAACCCAGAAACTGAAAATTTAGAGATGATCAATGAGATCTAAACACTTATACATACCCAGTAATCTATCATCCATACTATTTGTATGTATATTTAAAGAATAACTGTGTGTGATAAATATATATTATTGATATTTAACAAATTAAAATTGTCATGAGTTGTGACGTTAAAACTCTTTTCTTTCCCTCTTGTATGTTAAATTGAATTGCTCACAGTTACTTTTGGGAAGGACTCCCTGAGCATCATATATAGTAAGGTATGGTATATAAATCATGTAAACTAAACCTTATTAAACCATAAAAGGAAGAGAAAGTTCCTGTTTTACTGCAGGGAAATAAATTAAAACAGTTGATGGCAGTCTATTCATAACAGGGAAAACTCTTGTAGTGAAGGAAAATACCTTTAATATTTATAGTTGGCAACTGAGTACATTTATTGTTTCTGCTTTTTTTTAGTGAAAGTTATGCAAAGTCATTGTGAATTGGCCAGCAGCTAAATTTAAATAAAGAAACCAGATGTCCAAGAGAAGATTTGGATGGAGCCTATACACAAAGGTTCCGATACTGCTTGAGATATACTAGGAGAAGACCCACATTATGCAAGCTCCATATCTTCTTGGAGGCACAGCAATTCTGGGTTGCACAACCAGGATTACACCACATTTTAGTAAAATCTTAAAGTTTTGTTGCCAACCTGGTCCTCCAGATTTTTGCAGCCCAGGTCTGGTAATCTTGCCTTCTTGTATATATTGTCCCTGATTCTGAACTAATCATTCATTTATTCTCAGTAATAAGACTCCATCTTAGTCAAAATCCGTGAAAAATGTTTCATATGAGATCTCTCAGATACATTCCTTTTAATCTATTACAAAATTATGTGTTATACCTATTAATTTAAAATATTTTAAAGGAAAGCCTTCTTTAAAAATAAGCTTAACTAAAACAGCTGCATCATACTTAACAGTGATAGTGGGCATCAGTAGCATACAGTAACATCCAGATCTTTACAGACATTTGAAAATAGCAATAGCATTAGTACTTAGACTTCTATGCCACTTCACAGTGTCCTCTCTAAGCAGTTTACAGAGTCAGCCTATCCCAACAATCTGCGTCCTCATTTTACTGACCACGGAAGGATGGAAGGCTGAGTGAACCTTAAGCTGGTGAAACTCGAACTGCCAAACTGCTGGGAGTCAGCAGTACTACATTCTAACCACTAGGGCTCTGTGTCAGAGTGTCACTCACACATCCCATGGTATACCAGAAAGACATTTTTAATATAATAATTTAGAGTAATTTGACTGACAGAGATTACTATAGAAAAGGCATGTCTGTGGAGATTCTCAGTCATCCAGGTCATGGTTGTCCCAAACTTGCTTTTTTTCCAAAGGCAATTGGACTTTCTTTGCTTTTCTTTGAAGATATTTCACTTCTTATCCAAGAGGTTTCTTCAGAAGAACTGATGAACTGAAGTTTCTCGGATGAGAAGTGAGTTTTCAAGGAAAAATAAAGGAAGTCCAGTTGCCTTTTGAAAAAGCACCTTTGGGACTATAGAAAAGGCATATTTTTTCTCTACTAATTATAAGTACCAAACAAGATAATAATTACTCAAAAGGTGATTGCATCATCTAACAAAGAGTCCTATGAATAAATAAAACAAATAAATGGATCAAATTCCATCATTTCTACCAAGTATCAGAAATAAGCGAACTATTAGCAGAAGTAGAATTCTAATTAGCTAGTGCAGGAGTCCCCGGCATCGGTCCATGGCATGCCAGAAACTGGTCTGTGCAAACAAGGAAACCCCCATCCACGGAATGCAGGCAGCATGTCAAACTACGCCCCCTCCAGTCCACAGAAAAACCTCTCTCCTTGGAACTAGTCCCTGGTGCCCAAAAGGTTGGTGGCCACTCAGCTAGAGAATATAGGATTGCAGAAAGCTGAGGTGTTAGACTATGAAAAGGACAAAAAGAAAATAAATATGCTTTTTTTACTTTGCACAAGTGTCGGTTTATTCATTTATCAATCAATACACTGACTAAAACCATTATTTTATTTATTTGTTTGTTTATTTATTTTGTCTATACTTTATCATAATCTCACAGTACTCTCAACAGTTTATAGAAGTACAAAAAATTTAAAACATACATATTGAAAACAAAAAGCAGCACAAACAAGCTAAAATCTTGGCTTCACAATCCCATCGCCGGATTGGAAGAGCTCCCTTTTTAGTTCTTTCAGAAGGTAATTTAAATGGGAGCTAACTATCTTTAGTGAGAAGCCATTGCAGACAGCTCCACTGCTGCTCCAAGTTTTGTTCGTTCCTTCATCACCAGAATGTAGGAAACCACTAGATGCTCTTCTTGACAAGATTGCTTTGATTGGGCTGATTCTAATAGGCAGCTACCTTACTGAAAGTAATTTGATGCAGGGCATAAGATGCTTTATAGTGAATCCTACAACAGTCCTTTCACTTGCAACCAGAAGTACATGGGAAGCTATTGCAGGACCCACAGCAGAAGTTTATTATGTTTCCATCTGCAAGGGCTGGATAGTACACAGACCACTGCATTTTCAGCCAACTGAAGTTTCCAATTTATTTTTCTTCAAAGGAAGTGTCAAAGCAAGAACATTCAATGTTAGATGTTCTTGCTTTGACAGAAAGCTCCACAGAGAACATTTTGCAGTAATTCAAGTGAGTGGCGATGAAGGCACAAATCACTATAGTAAGGTACCGTTACCCCAGATAGGATACAACTACTGTAATACAACTGAAGCTGATAAAGGGCCTCCTGGCTACAGCTTCCTATTGTTCTAGCAGGACCACAAATCCAAGAGGGCCTCCAAGATATGGATATGCTTTTTTCAGGAACAGTGCTTTCTAACTCAGAAGTACCACTGGAGCCACCAGAGAATCCCAAAAAATTACCAACAGTAATTTTCCTTTAAAATGACTAGAAATGTCCTTATCTGCAATGAGACTTCAACAGTGTCTCCCAGATCCAAGTAACTACTCTGCCTGTGTCAGTCCAAGGACTCAAGAGAGTCCAACTTGCATGGCAGAAGAGGATTTCTTAGAGAGCACCCAAACTACTTCCTCAGAAGCCATAAGTCAAAAGAATCCCTCCAAACATAGCAATATTATGTTTTGGTCAAAACTCTAGGCTCTGCTCAGAATAGAACAACTCTGATAAACTTTATTGACAAAATTTTATGCTAATTTGTCACATTTCTGGGGGCTCTGAGAAGACCAAGGGATCATCCAGAATTGGTTGACAGAGAGAGAGGTTACTCAGGATGATTCATGATTTTTTTGAAGGCATGTTGCCAACAGCAAACTAGGCGTTCGACTGACTCACCTGTCAGATTGTCAAGGAAATTCCAAGCATCCATTAGAAATCCATGGGTGCACCATCTGAATGGGTTGAGCCCTATGGCAATAACACAGCCGTCAGTCATATCTGGACCAGGAAGTGATCTAACCATGACAAAACGCTGATGGTAACAGTCTTTATAACATTATAGAGATTCTGAAATAAATTCATGTCAATTCCATGATTTCCTGAGGAAAACCCATGGTTACCATGGAGATCATGAATTCCCAGCCTCTGCCATATGAGGTATAAATCTCTCATTGTTAGAAAGGGGGAGAGACTCAACCACCATCCTGACAGATCCAGAAGCCCAGAAAGGCTCCTGATGGATGTCACTGATGTTTTTTGCCTCCAATTCAAATCTGCTTACTCCTTTCATCTGCCAGTACTCCTAACCAGTGGTGGGATTCAAACATGTGAACAACCGGTTCTCTGCGTGGATGCCGCTTCTGGAAGTCCATTCTGGGCCTGTGCAACAAAAAATTAGCTACCGGTTCTGCCGAATGGGTACAAGCTGGCTGAATCTCACCACTGCTCCTAACCACCCACAAATCAAACAGTTATTTCCAGAAACTTGGTGAATCTTTCTGCATCAAGGCCTCATACATACCAAATCTCCAAATATATTCATATTTCTTATTTCTCCTCTAAGTCCATACTACATCCTTCACTCTGTTCAACATCTTCTTGAAAACAGCAATCCATTAATGAGCTTTGCGATTTTGAAGCAACTCTCAGGTGATTCAGTCAAACTGATCTTATTAACATAATTTAGTCAACTTCCTCAGGCTACATGCCATCATCACCACCATTGTGGCTGCTAGGAATCTTAACATGTTCCCTATGCCTAGAAGCAGGGCTTTCAAGCCTATTTTTACATCCACAGTGTTGGAAGCATGCTATTTTTAAAAACTCTGTGTTTGCCTGGTAGATATCTACAAGTGGAACAAAATGACAGTGTATATGAGGTGATTTCATCATGTAAATATTGCCACTTATATACTTGCACCAGGTGTAATATTAAAGTCACTGGTTTGTTATGGACACAACGGTTTTTAATTCCAAATATTACAAGTCATGGTTAAGATGGAATATTTTTTTTTTTTACAAAATGTGAATTACTCTGTCAAGCCTCAAAGAAATATTCAGACAGAAAGGTGTCATATCTGCCACATCATAATCAACCCACCAGTTAGTGTCATACTCTAAAACTAAGTAGGATATAGAATTGACTGAAGTCTTGCATATTTTCTGTATGATTTTTTAATTTATGAATCAAAATAAATCCTGTGCAAATTGATACATGCTTACAATAGATTGATATTGGTTAGAAGTTCCAATGCAGCATCACAAAACCTGGAGTTGCAATACTTGCATAGCAGTTTTTCCCTAGTGTCACAAGTAGATAAAACTATCACAGTTAACTGATGACTATGGTGCTAGGATTTGATGAACCACATCTACACTAAAGCTGTTACATAAGCACAAGTGTGTTTCTTAAATGTAATATAACGACATTAAGCAGCACCTTGTTTGGAAAACAACCAAGTATTGATGCTTGGAATTATTTACAAGACAGAAGAAAGATAGAATCAAATTCATCATCTTCTGAATTTCCAGGTAAGGATACTTGACTATTTTTTTCTAAATAACTGCTAATCTGCTAACATCTCTGCTTTTTGGTAAATGTTGCTTAAGTCCACACATTTAGCAATGTATTGCAACAAGCTATAGTTCTCAGTTTGGGGTATCATTGAGCTGGTTCTAATTGATTGTGATAAATAGCGATATGGGAAATGAGATTGTAATTCCTGCGTATTCTCATGTCTCGTGTCACTCTATTATACAGTGGAAAGGTCTATCAGGTTTACTGGTTCAATATGGAAACTTCATAGTATTGATATGATGCCTTTTACCAAGTCAAAGTTATCACTACATTTTGAGCAATCAGAAACGTCCATATTTTATCTTAATTTCAGTTACAGGTTAGCTACCTGTAGGCCAACTGCCTATTCTTTGAAGTATATTGAAGCAAACCTCTGTATATTACCTAGATATTGTTTGATTTTCAATATTACCCATCATTAGGGTGCCTAAGCATTTATTCCAGTAAATGTATTTATTGGTTATGCAACATATGAAAAGTTTCCCCTACCTTTTTGCTTTAGCTTTTGTGTCAGGAATGTTATAGCTTCCCATGAATAATCATCTTCTGATTTCTTTTTTTAGGGGACAGAAGATTACTAAGAGAAAAGGCAGAAAGAACTATGGGAAGCCAAGAAGATGTGATCTATCCCCTTGAGCTCACTATATCAAAACCAGGGAAGAGTCCCTACAAACGTAGCTTTGAAGAAGGGATACCTCAACCCCAAACCAAGAAAAAGAAAATAGACCTCATCTTCAAAGATGTCCTAGAGGCTTCTCTGGAGTCAACTAAGGTAGAAGATCGTAAGTTCACCAAAAATTCTAGCCCTTCCACTCGAAAATCCTTGAGATTCCAAGTTCAAGATGTCTCAGAAACTTGTGGGACTAGTGTTCAAGACAGTTCTCCTAATCACAGTAGACACAGAAATGAGGGTGAGTGGAAGGTCTCTCACGGTTCTTCCTTTACCATGTCCAAAGAAATTGGCTTGCTGGAAGAGGAAGGTGAAGAACCTTTGTCATTTAAAGTGAACAGTCTCACTGATTTGTCTCTGGTGTCAAGTCAAGATGATGCTCTCGAAATCCCAACAACTTCCTTGTGTCCCAACTGCATACGGCTGAAAAAAAAGATTCGGGAATTGCAGGCTGAGCTAAATCTGCTAAGATCTGGCAAGTTAGCTGAGCCATCTCTACTACCTCCTCAGGTACCTGAGTATCAAGCATTTTCATATCCCACTGGTAAGTTACACAAAATAAAAATGCTCCGTAAACATTACACTAGGAGACCTTACATTTCTGAGGTCTCATGGTTGGGTTTTATGAAGCACAGATTTAATCTTCTGAGCGAACAGTTTGGGGTATTATAATCATAATTATAATTTGTAATTATAAATCATCTTTCTTTTTTACTGTAATATGTTCATTTTCAATAAAAACATTGCAGCAAATTGGTTTGCTATATTCTTCATACATTGCAGGAGAAAGAATTGTAGGTTATCATTCTGAATCCAGTTTAGGAAGTATGTTTGGTTTTCTATGTGCTATGTGACTTATACTGGTTCATATGTATGCAAAATATATAAAACAAAGTTTACATTTTGTGCAGGAACTTATTCTTAACTTGGTTGACTTGTGTTTGTTTTTGTTCATTTCCCTTAATAATTCTTGTTATAATATGACAATAGCTAGAGTACTGCTGAGGTTACTTTTTACAATTACTTAGACTTTAGGAAATTAGGACTTAAAAAAGGACTGGTTTCAAAGCATTTATAATTCAATCTTACTTCAAATATCATGTTCATTTTCGTTGAAAACAGAGGACATGTGTAGATATGGATGAAGTGTTGTGGAATTACCGTTTTATATTGTTTTCTAGAACTTTGTCTGGAATTTTCTGTAATTCTTTTTTTTTTTTTTTTTTTTGGCAGCTTCAGAAAGCATCATGTCTGTTCCTACCATAATGGAAGATGATGATCAGGAAGTAGATTCAGCAGATGAATCTGTTTCCAATGACATAATAACAGCCACAGATGAGCCCTCCAAAATGTCTGCTGTCACCAGAAGGATTCGGCGCTTCAAGCAAGAGTGGCTAAAAAAATTTTGGTTTCTAAGGTACTCTCCGACATTGAATGAAATGTGGTGTCATGTCTGTCGGCAGTACACAGTACAGTCTTCTCGAACTTCAGCCTTCATCATTGGCTCAAAGCAATTCAAGATCCACACTATAAAACTTCATAGCCAGAGTAATCTCCACAAGAAGTGCCTGCAGCTCTACCGGCTCAGGATGCACCCAGAGAAGACAGAAGAGATGTGTCGAAATATGACTTTATTGTTCAATACAGCCTATCATTTAGCTATGGAAGGCCGGCCGTATTGTGACTTTCGACCTCTTTCAGAACTACTGAGAAAGTGCGAACTCAAAGTGGTGGATCAGTACATGAATGAGGGAGACTGTCAAATCTTAATCCACCATATTGCTAGAGCTCTTAGAGAAGACCTCATTGAACGAGTGAGGCAGTCTCCTTTCCTCAGCATCATTTTAGATGGGCAGAGTGATGATTTACTTGCTGATACTGTTGCAGTTTATGTACAGTATGTCAGCAGCGATGGACCTCCTGCCACGGAATTCCTTTCTCTCCAAGAACTGGGATTTTCTACAACAGATAGTTATGTTCAAGCATTAGATCGAGCTTTTTCATCTCTGGGAATCAGGCTGCAAGATGAAAAACCAAGCGTTGGTTTGGGAATAGATGGTGCTAACATCACTGCCAGTCTAAGAGCTAACATATACATGACAATCAGGAAAACTCTACCTTGGTTGCTCTGCTTACCTCTAATGGTATACAAGCCACACTTGGAAATATTGGATGCAATTAGTGGAAAAGAACTACCCTGCCTTGAGGAGCTAGAGAACAACCTGAAGCAGTTACTCAGCTTTTACCGTTATTCCCCCAGGCTGATGTGTGAGCTAAGGGTCACTGCTGCTACTCTCTGTGAAGAGACTGAGTTCTTGGGAGATATTCGAGCAATCAGATGGATCATTGGGGAACAAAATGTCCTCAATGCTCTCATCAAGGACTACCTGGAAGTAGTGGCCCATCTGAAAGATGTCAGTGGCCAAACACAAAGAGCAGATGCTTCTGCTATTGCCTTGGCTCTCTTGCAATTTCTTATGGACTATCAATCCATTAAGTTGATATATTTTTTGCTTGATGTCATTGCGGTCCTTTCACGACTTGCCTTCATTTTTCAAGGTGAATACCTCCTTATCTCCCAAGTGGATGATAAAATAGAGGAGGCCATCCAAGAAATTAGTAGACTGGCAGACTCTCCTGGGGAATATCTACAGGAATTTGAGGAGAACTTCCGTGAAAGCTTTAATGGCGTTGCTGTGAAAAACCTACGGGTGGCTGAAGCCAAATTCCAGTCAATTCGAGAAAAAATATGCCAGAAGACCCAAGTGATTCTGGCTCAAAGGTTTGAACTTCGCAGTCGGGCATTTGTGAAAGCCTGCCAGGTTTTTGATCTTGCAGCTTGGCCCAGAAGTGCAGAAGAGCTTATGACCTATGGCAGGGAAGATATGATGCAAATATTTGAACATCTGGAGGCAGTGCCATCTTTTTGCACAGAAATCAGCAGAGAAGGCATAGACACCAGAGGGAGTTTGCTCATGGAATGGCGAGAACTCAAGGTGGATTATTATACCAAAAATGGCTTTAAAGATTTAATCAGTCATATTTGTAAATATAGACAGAGATTTCCTCTTTTAAATAAAATAATCCAGATCCTCAAAGTCCTTCCCACTTCCACAGCATGCTGCGAAAAGGGAAGAAATGCTCTTCAGAGAGTGCGCAAAAACAATCGTTCCCGACTTACTCTGGAACAACTCAGCGATCTTTTGACAATTGCTGTAAATGGACCACCTATTTCCAACTTTGAAGCCAAACGGGCCCTAGACAGTTGGTTTGAGGAGAAATCTAGCAATAGTTACGCACTGTCTGCAGAAATGTTAAGCAGGATGTCCACCCTGGATCAGAAACCTGTGCTGCAAAGCATGGACCATGGGTCGGAATTTTATCCTGATATTTAGCAAGGAATGCCTCTTGTTTAGAGAGCTGGTGATTTTTTTTTTTAAATCGATACTCTAAGCTTTGGTATATTACACATACACCCACGCACACACAGATGCACATGTATGATGTAAACTCACACTGAAAATGTAAGCGGATCTGATGGAAGCTAAGAGGAATACAGCAACATTTAATATGTACTGACATCTTCAACTGTGGCAGCTGCAATGTAGGTGGCAACCATTCATTTTTCAGAAACATGTACTGGGCCATAGTCTGCATTATCAACCTGACTCAATTTATAAGCTAGACATGGCAAGCCAATGTCATCTACGTCTCTTTATGCTTTTATGTGTATGTCTGGTTTTTTTTTACCTCTCTGGTATTTTCCTTTTGTTAGTCAGCTATTGAGCCATTTTAGCCCTTTGCTTATCATCATTGGGATTTCTGAGCCCTGCGTACACATCTTGGAATTTGTTTCTAGCTTCTCCAGGTCATCTAGGTTAGATTGGATCCTTCTGGTAATCTGGTTAATTTTCATGCTATTGTCAATTAGCTAGAATAATTTTTTTTTAGCATGACACATCAATGGGCGGTTCCGGTGTTAGGCAAAATGTCCTGTGAAAACTCTACTAACAAGCTCATATATCTTCGTACAATATTGATAGCATGTTCCTGTGAAAAATAGCATAATTCAGATTAGGGAAATGGGGGATGTTTTTGCATTTATATTTTTATATAGTGGGGATAAGAAAATTAATTACAATTCTTTACTGAAAACCCAGGCTGCTGTGGAAGCTAGATAGCCAATGAGTCAAATCCTTTAAGAGGATATAGACTCCAGGGCTTAAAAATATACATATGCTAATTTTATGTTATTTATACTTGGTCTTTATAATCAGAAATTGATTGTGTTTTCTGTTTGTTTGTTTTTAATAAGTGAAAGAAATACCTGCCGTCTTTGTGCGGCAGGATATATCAATGCAAAATCCATCTTTATGGCTTAACAAATCTCAAGGTCCTTTGCCTGGTTCACATATCCTTCTTTTATTAACATTTAAAGTTCCAATAAGTGGCTAAAAGAAAAACAGAATATTGTGCATATATCTGTGAACTTCTTTCGAAGAGTGCATAGTCTAATAGATATGTGGGCCATGAGATTGGGAGATCCGTGCATTCTGAAGAACATTTTTTTTTAGCTTAATAAAAAAGGATTGTTTAGGTTAAACAAGCCTAAACCAGCCTCCACATTTGTTTGTGCCATACCCTTCTGGTGTATCATAAAGCAGTATTGGGAGGTTTTGGCTGAACTAGATGCTCACAGGAATAAATAAAAATAATTTTGGCTGGAGAATTTACTAGGGTAGCATGTTTCCAGAGGGACTAAACTCATGCCAGTTTGCATTTTTTTTCTTTTTAAATACAGTAAAATAATGTCAGTTACACTGAACCTATCCATTTTCCTTCCCTCCATTCCCATTTTCTCCATCTTCTTCCGGTTAGTCTTGGTGCTAAATTTCTCTGGAACCATTGCTGCTAGTAGGTAGTTTTTCATTTATCTAATGGTATATTGCATTATTTTTAAACAGTATGTTTTCAGTGATAATGTAGCATGTGGTTAAAACAGTCTTTCTCAGGACATATCTACACCCGCATCTTTTCCAGTATCGTTTTTGTTTGTTCAATTTTAACTCGTCTTTTGTTATTCATTGTTCCAGTAATCATCCTGGCTTAATTTTTATAAGTACATTATCATTATTTGCCAGACTTTAAGTTTTTTTTTAAATAATAATAATAATAATAATGTTGACATAGGGTATAAAAGAAGAGGGCATAATACCTCCTAGGATTTGCAAATCAGCTGTAGTTTTCAGGAAAACTTGTCCAGGCCATCCCCAGGCAGAAGAGGGAAAAATATCTGAGGTCTTTATAATAAATGCACAACATTAGTATAAGACTTAAAAAAAAAAAAGGAAATAAAGGAGTGGGGATGGCAGGTAGAAATTGGGATTTGGAATGGAACAATCCTTTGTCCAATCTAACTTCAAAAAAGTTACCCCTTTGCTAAGATGGTTACCAACCTCAGTCTGGGAGAAAGACACAGGAAGTGAAGGACGAATTGAATCAGTCACAAACAGGAAAGGCCATGGAGTTCAACAGATGGGTATCCACCTTTAGTCACTTCCCCTGCCAAAGGCTCATGCGCTGCCTTCTCATTCTATGCACTCTTTTCTTTCTGCATAACAGTGAAGCAACATAAACTTGTCCCTGGTTCATTAGTTAATTTGCAGGTGACATTTTATATTGGATTTCAGTGGTTCCCTTTCTCCAATGTTATGTATTGGGTGATAACAAATACTGAAATTGATAAAATAATGAAATATCAAAGCCACGGGGCTTTGACCACTTGATTGTATTCATGAACATTAGTAATATCAATGGAGCTACAATAATATATATATATATATATATATATATATATATATATATATATATATATATGATTTTTCTAAGCATTGGGACAACACATGGTTCAGAAAGCATTTTGCTAAGACCAAAAGTGCTTATATGTACAGGCAATAAGAGAAAAGCCTGTATTCCATGGTTCATACCATTAAGAAAACCATTCACCCTGGTTGTCCGAAAGGTGCTTTCCAAAAGTCCAATTGGACTTTTTTTAGTTTTTTCCTTGAAAACATTTCACTTCTTGGATGAGAAGTATTGGGACAACCATGACCTGGATGATTGAGAATCTCCATAGACATTCACCCTGGTATCTTCAGTTATATTTACTCCAATTGAACTATTGCCACTTATTGAAACAAAATACTTCTTGTTGGATGATTTTTACTTTTACTGTTGTCAAAGTTTTAACCTCTGGCCCATTTACCTCATGCAGTTGGTTTAAAAAAAATCTTTTGATGCTGATTTGTGGAAAGAATTAATATAAGAGAACCTTTCAAGCAAGTGAAACTATGTTGACAATTTCCAGGATTTAGAAGAGAATTTGTGCTTTGCAGCACTTCTTCCCTTTGTGTGCCTGTGTTATAATAGCATGAATATATTAAATAGAGTGAATCCAACCTATGATTTACATAGATGCAGAAATTTTTAACACAGAAAGTATAATACAGTTTTTTAAACATTAAAGATTAAACTTCCTGTCATCCTGAACCAAGAACATTTTTTTAGAATAAGGTCCTTTAAAATTTCCTCTATGAAAGTCACGAGTCTCTTTTTGTAATGCCCATGTGTTCTTTGGGATAATTTCCCTTCTTTACAGTAATTGTTACTTATCTTGCCTCATTAATAGGAAAGTGAAGATACTCATACTTGTGTTCTGATTTTGTGCAAGAGACACAAAATTCAATTATCTCTAGGCTATGTAGAGATGGTTCTGTGTCTAAATAGACAGTAAAATGAAAGTTTGCAATACTATATCAGAGTGCTAAGAATAGAAAAAAAAAACATTTGTGCATGGTTTTTTTTTAAACCTTCCTTGCTAAAAACCATAGAAATTTAAATTTAAAATTTAGGCTATGCTGTAACTAAATCAGAATATGATCCAAATAGCATTTTAACATGATCTCTTCTCGGCTCTAGTAAAAAGATTATCATGCACTTAATTCAGACTTATTAAAATAAATGATGCTTAACTTTGGCTGCATCTTACAGATGCTTTCTAACATTGCAATATTTTAAAGTTACTTCCTGTTCATATATAATTAGTTAATATAATGCGTGGTCAAAAATGGGGTTATCTTATATTTTTCTTTTGGGTTATACTGGTACTTTTTATGTTACAAAAAGGGTTTCCATAGCTGGGCTCAGGAATTGTCAGTTTCTTTTATATTCAAAGTCCAGGTTCTTAGCGTTTGGAGAAATTGTATGCAGTGTTCCATTTCTGATGTTGTGTTACTTCCAAAATGTAACGATAAGTATGACAGCATTATTAAATTTCTATACGCCTGTTGATATCAGGTGAATGATTGCTAATTATTTTGGCTAATTAAGTTGATAAAAAATTTCCTAAAATAAAATAATGGTTCAATTGCAATTAATTCTATCTAAATCTACTATAAGATTTAGTAGATGCACCAAAATAAAGGATTCCTTTTTTGTCATATTATAATTGAAAGTATAATTATTTGGCAAATGTTCTAGTGGAGAAGGATAATATAAGGGATTATTGATTTGTGTGGTGAAACGTGATATAAGGAAGTAATAATTTATCTTTAACCCTAGATGATATAAAAAAACCCTCTATTTAGAATTATTGGGGAGGTGGGAGCAAGGGGGTTTTCAGTATTATCTTTTCATTAAAAAGTGAACCATACTATTATAAAAATGTGTATGGTCATATTCTCAAATACAAGCTGAAATAAATTGAAGTGAGAAAAAAGGACACTAGAGGGCATCCACAGTTAATATATTGGTCCTTGTCTATTGCAACTGCTTTACCTATTGATTACAAAAACTACAGTTAGTGTTATTAAAAGTACTTTTTTTTTTAGTTTTTTCCCCTGTAATGAGGAGATAAAGGGGTCAAGCTCAGAAGATCTAGTTCTGAAATCTAAATAGACTAATAACCTCTTTCATTTAGGCAAGGAACTACTTTTGTGAGGGTGTGATCTTTACATGGTGAAAAGGATCAGTGTGTAATGAACTATTTGTAATCTACTTAGTGCCTGTGACTATCTTGACAAGGTCTGGTTTCAGATTTTGCAATTATCAGTCAACTCAGGCTTTTACAGGTGTGATTCCATTTGGCACAAGCATATTAAACACACATTGATTTGACGCTAAATCCAACCCGGTAGCGTATAAAATCTCTATAACCATCAAGCCTGGCACAGCACTAATTATAAAAATGAATCCAGGCAACAAACTTTCTTCCAATTTTAGCAAAAGCACAATGAACATACATGCATGGGTGATGTGAGCTTATACTCTAAAGAGAGATGATTCTGCCATCCTGACTTTTGTACTGAAGTGCCTGTTTCTTGCACTTGAGACCATAGCACATATGTGCCCATAACAAAGTATTTCAGGTTATACAGTATTTCTACTACTATTTCTACTACTACTGTTTCTCCTAGTAAGTTACTGCCAAACTTGCATAGCAGAGTGAAAAGGCTCAGTTAGAATCCTTCCTCAATTTAATAAAATTCCTCTTAAGCACTAGAAATCTGTTCCATAGCCATCATATCTCACTGCACTAAAATCTATGCAATTCTTATCACTCCTTGCAGGCAAGTAAAATGTATATGCATGAAACTTGGTATATGTCTACACTTCCAATTTGTGTGAGGTGCAATCTAAATATATTATATTGGTGGGACCTGAGCTTTGAAGATGCTCTTCTTCTGAGTGGAAATTCAGCACACTCTTTTCCCTCCTAGATTGCACTCATTGGCCATGCTCCGGATAGTCAAGCACTTTAACACTGTATTGATCTCAGTGGAAATTTTAAGAATAAGTCTTACAATTATTTGGTTCCCCCCCCCCACTGAAATCAATTAAATAAAAGAATTCAACTTTAGCTAGATTACGGCGATACTCTATAAGGCTTATCCATTGTAACAATCAGTGTAAGAAACAAACTCACATGCTTATATATCACTATATAAATATTCTTTCTCATTCATATGCACACACGTGCATATCAATGAGAAGAGTTTGTGTGTGTTTGTGGAAGTACATAAAAACAAATTTTAAGAGAGAGAAGCAACTGCTCTATCATAAACTGAGGTCCTGAGTTTATGTGAGGAATACAGCACTGATTATCACTGTTCTCGGTCTTAGCATATCTATATTTGTTTATAGTCTTATTTTGGGGGCCTGTTTCTCTTGGGATAACTATTGATTAGAAAACATTGCTATGGCCAAGAAAGGGATTTTTTTTTTTTTTTACTAGCATAGTTGATAATATGCTAAAGTTCATATAACAGTATTGGGACCATCTTATAATGAATGAAAATGAACCTTACCTCTCCTTGTTATATAGAGTGTACTTACCGGTACCTATGTTCTCACTTTGGCAAATATATATATTTGATTGATTTGTGCACTTTCCCCTCTGCTTACCTTGACTTAATGAGTGCAAACTGCAGGTTATTGCTCCCTAGTTGATAAAGCATGATTGTTCATTAAATTTGAAATATGATCCTTGGATTTATCATGCCAAGCCAAATTACATTGATTTCAGTGGTACATGCTCAGGCAACTTAGGACAAGAACACAGCATTTGTTACCCAAGGACAAGAGAAGGGTAAGAACTGTATGGAGAAGGGATATAGCATGAAACAAAAGCTTAAGTAGAAAGGCAGGGAATAAATAGATAAATAAAGCTCTTGAATGGAAGGGTGAATTGGGAGCGTGTGTGAGATGGGCACATACTATCTTGATGAGGCACTGAAGAAGAGCCACTTTGCTTCAGAAAGATTAGTTTCTGCACATAGGGTACACCGGCACAGAAGGTGTTCCGCATTGAACCAAGTGGCATGGTAGCACTTAGAAGTGGAGGACCATTTCTCTTTGTAAAAGTGTTTCATTTAAACTTTGAAGCAAAGTACCTCTTTGGGGCTTTGCGTGGCTCTATAAAATAAGCAAATATATTTAGCTGAGGAGTCATGCTAAAGGTCTTCCCAGTACAGGCGATTGCATTACTGTTCCTCAGCTACCTACTTCTATTCTTTTGGGTTATTTTTCAAAGCGCAGCTAATTTCTCACTGTTTATTGAGCAAACTCAGTTGATCATTTAAATGGTTTTCAGGATGGTCAGTAGGCATGGGTCATCAGACAGAGAATACTGTATCCTGAACACTGTATTAATTTAGTAATGTTGGCTTAAGGCATTATGATTGAACCACTCCAGTAACATAATGTTAATATGACTATATTCTTTTTAGTATGAATGGGAAATATGGGCGGGGGGATGTTGGCAGAGGTATGCCATAGTTTTCTTCATTAATGTTTGTGAAATATATGCTCAGAGCTTTATGAGCTACATATCCTCTTTTCTTTGCTCAAACATGAACAAAGCCATTTGGATTTTTGCAGCTGAAAATCCATTTCTGCTGATAAGGCAGGTATCCTAAGCATTAGTGATGTTCCTAGACTCAGTTGCCACATTGAAAGAATGGGGGGAATTTAAGATTTGGACTTCCAATCGTTACTGGCACTATATATTATCTTATGCAAGTTTTATTAGTAGCATTATTAGTATTATTATTACTAGGGTCTGGAAGGGAGAATGTGGGAATCGTTTTTTTCTCCACCATGTGACTGCTTGCACTGGCGTTACGCAGCTTTGTTGTTGAGCGAGCTTGTGCTGAACACATCTGCTGATAAAGTTTTGTTACCTTCTTGTACTATGCCACACAACTCTGGAAACTCACCTCAGTTACAAACCTGGCTGACCTGAAACTCCTGAAGTTTCAGAACTGTAAGCCCTTACAGGAATGGCTACCTAAAATCTTTTCCTCAGGACTGAATCTCATGGATAGTTATATTCTCATGGCTACTGGACTTTCTTCCAGCCCATGTGCTGCCAACAAAGCACCCTCACTCTACACCAAAATCTCTCTACACCGCACCTCTTCCCAGCTGACTCAAGAGAGGTGCATCACCCAAACGATTGACTGTTATGGAAGTGCAACAAGGAGGTCTGCCAGATCTCTCTCTTGCAGGCATTCTCACACAATTCACTTTACAGATACAAGGGGGGGGGTGCCTCAGACCTCCTCCTATTTGCCTTTGTCCCTCTTCCCCTCACAGACTCAATTCCAAACTGCTTGATCATGCACATGTATAAATGATGGGAGGGGGAGAAACAATCTAGAAATCTATTACGTATGTATTAAAAATGTTAATATCACACCTTTTCTGACAATGTTTTAAAAAATGTCATTACTTTGCAGACTATGCTTTATAGTACCTGTGTGAGAGGGGCTAGGACACTGGATACGACTAGAGCTATGTTGATATATAATAGTATGTACACGAGAACTTTCGTTTTGTCATACATTATAATTGTAATGTAATATGATTAATTAAAAACACTTCAGTTTATTAAAGTGAGTCAGTATATCTTTATCTGAAGACATGGGCTGAAGCTTATTGCATATTAATTGTTGTTAGTCTTTAAAGCGTCAGAATAGTCATTGTTTTATAACATGTTTGATAAACTCTCCATTAAAATGGAAACAACGTGCATTGGAAAGAGATGGCTTCAATGGGGATTGTCTGTTATTTGCCCTTGTAAATCACTGCTTCTCAGTTGTGGTTTCAATAGAGCAGGGCTTTTCAACCTTTTCATCCATTGTACCACTTTTAGGATATGGCAACATCCAAGTACCACCAGTCACCTAGCAAGGTATCAAAAACTTGATGACCCCCCCCAAAAAAAGGAAAAATGATAAAGTACAGGTAGTCCTCGACTTACAACAGTTCGCTTAGTGGCTGTTCGAAGTTACAATGGCACTGAAAAAAGTGCCCCCCAAGCCACAGCCGAGCAAGACACCTGCCTGCCCACCCGGCGGCGCTCTTCCTCCTGTCTGACGTTTTCATTGTTGTGAGCATTTCTGTTGAGGATTGGCAGTGGGGCTGGGGTGGAGGTTGTTTGGTTTTTATTCCCCCCATCTGCTGGGTGGTTGCAGCAGGTTTTGGGTACTTCACATGACCCTCGGACACTGTGAGCATCATAAATATGAATCAGTTGCCAAGCATCTGAATGTAAATCATAAGACTCTGGAGATGCTGCAACATTCCAGCTGATCGGTGCTTCTTCTGGGCTCAGCAGAAGTGCCAGGATCAGCGCTGAGCTCCAGCTGGAGCCTGGCGCTGATCCTGATGTTTCCACTGAGCCCTGACAGTCCCGAAGAAGCGCTGATCCTGGCGCTTCCGGTGAGCCCTGACAGCCCTGCAGTCCAGCCATCTCTCGCTCAGGCTTGTGCGGTGCTGCCACTGGTTCAGCTCATTCCCCTCCCCTGCTACCACTTTTCTAGGATGGTCGCGTACCACCTGCCAGGTGCCAATGTACCACAGGTGGTACCCATACCACTGGTTGAAAAGCCTTGCAATAGAGGCACCTCACTTCTACTCATCTGCTCTCCAAGCTAGCCATTTTTAGTCAGTTGATAGCCATGGCAAATGTCAAACATATTTTCTCAAGCTGTTGCACTTTGTAATTTTTGTCTCCTGTTTTGAACATAAACATCATTTAAGATTTGGAAGACTAGGTCAAACTTTCCATAGTGGACTGAGTATCGGGCAGTGAAGAAGAGAGCTGTTCTCTTTGACCATCTGCAGATAGTGAAGAAGAGTGCCACAATGCTAGAGACCACCCACTCACTAAGAATGTTACAAGTGACTAAGACTATATTGACCATTTTCTGAGAAAGCTTTGGCCTATGGAGCTTTTCTAGATATACTCCCTCTCCTCAAGAGTCAGATGAAGTATTTCAACCTCACCAGATTTTAGCAGTCTAGCAGTTTAACCTTGACAAATACTAAACTTGCATGAATTTTCAATGTCATTACATTACATTACATTAATCAGGCATGAGGATGACAACATTTAGCATTAATAATGTGTTGCCCCCCCATTTATATTAGTTAGGTTGACTACAAATGTTAATTAATTAAGTAAGTAAGGCTAGATAGCCAAGCAATTCACAAAAATAAAATTAGAATCTAATCAAATAGGTAACTCTCACTCTCTCGGTAACAGCACTCCATAATGTCATGCTGGCCAGATGACCATGGAAATGTCTTTGGACAGTGCTGGCTCAATGGCCTTGAAATGGAAATGACCACTGCCCCCTATAATCAGTAATGACTAGCGAAGTAAAATCTGCAAGGACTCCTTTCCCTTTTTTGACCTAAGGAAAAACCTCCTGTTGGTAACATCAGCCATATTACCATGGCTGTCTTTGTTGCAAAATATAGGAATAGGAGACATGTTCTTCAAAGATTTTGTTTTTCAGAAGAAAAGGAATAGATGCTTATGTCCTTGTGAAAAATCATTGTCCTTGTGTGTCTATCTGCTCATACCTATATGCATGTGCAAAAGTGTGTGATTTACTTAACCAATTTGATATTGTTTTAGTTATGATTTAAAAACAAATACACTACTACATGTGTATTTCTAGCAGACATATTTCTTAAAGAAAATAAAAGGAAAAGTCTCCTTTGAGCTAAGCTGGACTCCATATGACTTCACAAATACATTTTGTTGGGTTTTTTTTTTTTTTAGAACATAAAAATGGTTTCCCACTGCTACATTCTAAAGTCTTATTTTGAACCTCTCAGGGCAATCTACACCCTTAGGTTTTCCCAACCAAGTGCTAACCAAGTTTCACTCTGCTTAGTGATATACTGTAAAAACAAATGTTGAGACTCTCAAAAGACTGCAGAGAAGAGCAACAAAGATGATTAGGGGACTGGAGGATAAAGCATATGAAGAACGGTTGCAGGAATTGAGCATATCTAGTTCCTTGAAAAGAAGGACTAAGGGTAACATGATAGCAGTCTTCCAATATCTAAGGGGCTGCCGCAAAGAAGAGGGGGTCATCTTATTCTCCAAAGCACCTGAAGGCAGAACAAAAAGCAATGGATGGAAACTAATCAAGGAGACAATCAACCTAGAACTAAGGAGAAGTTTCCCAACAGAACAATTCATCAGTGGAATGACTTGCCTCCAGAAGTTGTGGGTGCTCCATCATTGAAGGTTTTTAAGAAGAGATTGGACAACCATTTGTCTAAAATGTTACAGGATTTCCTGCTTGAGCAAAGGATTGGACTTAAAGACTTCCAGGTTCCCTTCAACTATGTTATTCTGTTATTTTCTTTAGCATATTACAAATATTTGTATTCTTGATCATACAGACTACCTGTCTGTCCAGTAAGAAGTAGAACCACAAGGAATACATATGTAACTTCTTGCCAGCCAAGGTCTTCTTTTCCATTCAACAATTCATTTATCTGATCCTCCCTTTGCTTCTCCTGCTTAAGTGCTGCTGACGGTACCAAAGATAACATACAGCAGAATCTCATTTATTTGCTCTCCTCCTGCTCCAGTCCTTTATTCCCACAAAGCATTTTGCCTCCTTCTCATGAAAGTGTGACAGAAACTGTCTGATATATAAAAACAGCTTTTTGATTGCATGATGCTAGATCTTCCAGCTCACTCTAATTATGAGCAAATGGCCTTATGCTGAAGCTACCTTGAAAGGTCATGTTCTCTGAAGGAATAAAAGAATCCTTTCCTCCTGTTCAAGGTCCCATTGTGTGTGCCTGATGTGAAAAACACAATAAAAAAGAAACTGGCATTGGACTTTAATCAAGTGAGACTAGCAGCTTTTCTGGTTTGGTTTTGTTTTTTTCCCCTTCAGCAGTATCCGTAATGGAAAAGAGGATATGCATATAAAAAACAAAATATTTCTGCTCTGAAATGGATTTTCCTTATCAATTTTTATTCACATACACTGGTCTCTGAAACCTATAGTCGTATTCATAATATCCCAGGAGGAGACATGGTTTCTGCTGGTATTTTCAAGGGAGGTGAGGAAAAATGATTCAAAAGTATGAATTTACTGATATTGCTGACTGGTTTCCATGGAGATATTTGCCATCTTATCCACCTCTATTTCCCCACCTCCACTACTTTTTCTGAAATCCCAGAAAGATGAGTGAGACAACAGTAAAAGGATAAAGCAGATGCTAGCATATTAAACCTTAAACCTTTGCAAACAAAGCAAACATCTCCTTTGACAAGCTGTCATTTCAGGAATGTCCGTCAACTGTCACTGATCATTTATCTATTTTTTAAGTTAAAAAATATAAAATATAGACAAAACAAATAAACAGGATAATCCTTACACTTTTTAAAATAGGGTGAAGGGAAGAAAAAAAAACAAATAAAAATATTTACCTCATACATGTTTACATATCAATATCCACTGGTTTACCAATATAGTACAATAGTATAATCAAATACAAAATATTATTTTAAAATATCATAAAAGCTCTGCTAGAATTAAAATTAGGCTAAAATTTTAGACATAGAAACTAAAATGTGGATGTTGCACAAATCCATATATTATGACCCCAAAATAATTTTCAATTAGAATTAAATTCTGCATCAGATTTGCTTTTTAAATGTGACCCTACCATTTAGTTAACCATTTATTTAAAGAAAGAAGTACTGAAGTAATGGGGGAGGCTACTTCAGGCATGTCTCTGGCCCCAGTCCAGGGCTGCTCTGTTTCAGGACTATTTACCTAATGGAAGCTTACATCCCCATCAAGATGGAACCTCATTACCTCCCGCCCCCTTAACATCACATCATTCTGCAATGTTTCTGTTTTCTTCCTTTAACTGAAAAAGTGGTCAGCCTTCATTGTTTTGCAGGTACAGCCCTTTTGATCTCTTTCGACTTGAACTGTCAGTTGTCCAGACTTTCTATAAAGTAATCTTATACACACTTTAAAATCCACAAACCACTTCCAGTTCAAGACTACGAGACATGCTCCAGATCTCTAAAGCTGCAAAGCAGGCTGGTCATTTGCCTGAAAAGTGTGTTTGGGCGGGGGAAATACCTCTTTCAAAGCCCCATCTTGGTATTCTCCTAGCTGCTCCTTTTCCTAATCCTGTTGTGTCTCAAGACAGGTTACTACTTTTACTGATTTGAGAATCAATGGAATTATATTTTTGATGTTTTTTCTGTTGGACCACTTCTGCAGCATGTGCAAACCTCTCAGTAATCTCTGGAAATGTAATTTGACTGAAAACTGCTCCCACCTGCGTATTAAAAGATAGATATTGCTTTTAGAATAGGTTGCTGACCAGAGCAGAATCTAGAGTGAAACTTCCATTTTAACAAGCCTATAAGTGTATCCCAGCAAATTCCGAAAGTATTGCATGCATCAAATCCTATGAGAATAATATAAAAGCAAAATTGCATTACAGGTCTTTCATCTCAAGCTAGGCCAAATGAATAGTTAGACTGAATTGTCTATTTTCAGCTGAGAGATAGTGAAAATAGAAGGCAATTTCTCCAGTGGGATAACAGATGCTTCCAACAGGAAGGATTTGGGGAAATGTGGCTTTCATCTATAACCGCAAAAGGGAAAAATAATGATAACATATATTTTGAAGTTAGTGAGGAATCAAGAGTTTGGGAATTTGCATCAAGTCAATGGTGATTTGTAGACAATCCACAGGGATGCATTCAGCCTAAGATGTAGGGAAAACTAGCATTGAAAATTCTCATTGAATGAATATGGAATGCACAGTGAGAAAATTATGTCACAGATATGAGATATTGGCTAGGGACAATTTGTACAAAGAGAAAGGGGATGATAAGAAATAACAATATACTTTCTTAACTGTAGCAAATCTTTGCCAACAGTTTTTAATATTTATATATGAATATATAAATCACTTCAATCAGCTGATTCTAAATGGTGTAAAAGAGAAACAACCAACAATAAATTAATATACTGGAGAAGAGCCTAATGCTGAGAAAGACTGAGGGCAATAGAAGAATGGGATGACAGAGAATGAGGTGGCTTGATGGAGTCACTGCAGGAGTAGGCATGAACTTAAACGGACTCCAGAAGATGGTAGAGGACAGGAAGGCCTGGAGGAACGTTGTCCATGGAGTCGCAATGGGTCAGACACGACTTCACAATTAACAACAACACAAAATTTAATAAACATACAATAACAATTCCATTGCTGGTGTCAGGATTTCCCATACATCACATCTCCCATATAACCCAGAGTTCTGATGACATCTAACCCCAACTGATGAATTATCTCTCCAGGTACTAAGCAGGATGGAGGAACAGACTGAAACTGTTTTTCCCTGTGACAATCAACTGGAGCTGCCCATTCAGGAAGAACAGAACCAGAGACTGTGTCAAATTTTGCATGCACTCCATATATTGACAATATCAAAGTTATCAAGAAGTCTAGCAAGATAAGGCTTGACATACTTACTTTATCCAAATTGTGCCACAAGTCATCCATAACGGTCTCAGCCCAGACATGGATTTTGCCACATATCCAGAACCAATCTTCCAGGGTTCTCTGTAACAGTTGTCTCTCCAAAAAGGGGTGCTAGATTTAGAACGATAGTTCTCATATATAAACAGATCCAAGGCAGTCTTGGATGATAGGGTGAACCAATGCTTCTTTCATGGAATTAATCTCTCCAAATGACTTTTGCCTGGCTCTATTCCCTAACTCTTGCTTGGCTGCTTTAACTAACTAGGAAATGCAGGATTTAAGTCCACAGATGGCACAGTTAACATTACGTAGAACCCCATTTATTACTTTGGGTTTTAAAGGTTCTAAAACTCCTAAGGAAGTGGTAAAAATTTCCACTCCCATCTCATTGGATCTTGGATCTTCACAGAACTGTGAATAAATTGAGAAGACAATAGATAAATAGCTTCAGGAAAGGAAGATCACAAATCAACTTGCTCTCTTAAATGACATGGAGTTGAGGAGGAAGATCCCTCTTTCTGAAGTGTTTAAAACAAGAAGGAAGAAACCCTGTTTACAGACTTGGTCAAAATCAGGTGAGAAAGTGAAGGGAGGGAAGGGATGAACAGAGATCAGGGTTGACAGGTTGACAAGAAAGGGCTGCTCTGTTCTTGAGAAAGAGTGGGTTAAGGCTACCAGGTATCATGAAACTGAAATGTGTGAGACCATCTGGCAGAGGCCTGGCTGACTGCAAAAATAGATGGAGAGTAGGGTAATGCTAGTGAAAAGCAGAAGACAGTAAGGCAGAAGATGTGAGATATTGGAGATTTGGTGCCAATCTCTACTTCAGCAATAGCACCCCTTCCCCATCTCACTTTATAAACCAGGTTGTCTATTAGGCATCTTAGCTCAACACTGGAAGTTTTTAAGAAGAGACTTAAGAGAGCTATTTGTCAGAAATGGTATAGTGCAGTGATGGTGAACCTTTTAGAGACCGAGTGCCCCAAAACCGCCCTGTCCCCCGCCCACCCCCCTACTCCACCCTCCACTCTGCCCCATCTGTCCACAGGGCCACCCACCACCTCCATGGCCCACGGCAGATTGTCTAGGCAGCCCTGCAGCACCATGGCGGCCACACCCTCCACCCACGCTCCGCAGCATCATCTGTGCGTGATGGGGCGTGAGGGCAAAGTATTGTCCCTGCTGCCCGGCTGCCATGTCCTTGGCTGCGCTGCCATGTCCATGGACCGTGCCCAGGGCGACTCTCCTCCGGGCCCACGGGGGGAGGCTGGGCTGGGGCAACAGAGAGGGCTCTGAGTGCCGCCTCTGGCACTCATGCCATAGGTTTGCCACCACTGGTATAGTGTTTTCTGCCTGAGCAGGGGGTTGGACTAAATGGCCTCCAAGGTCCCTTCCAACTTTATTATTATTATTGTAACTATCCTTTCTTTTAAAATGAACATTTTGCTATCTAAAATTATTTCTTTTTTCTCCAGAAACTTCTCCAGTTGTTTTTAAACACTGGGTTCTATATGTAACAAAATTAACCTTTACATGTTTTACAAATTTTTCTTACCACCTAAGGTAGATGTATTTTGTTACCTGTTCCCAGATAACTTATTTAGTCTATTTTAGAGCTGGAGGTGAAACCCTGTTACCTCAAGGGACTGGAAAAAGAGTAAAACCCTTAAATGTATCTCTCTCTCTCTCTTTTTTTTTAAAAGACTCAGGAATAATGCTAGCCATCAAGAAAACAAAAAAAGGTATTTTTTAAAAGCACTTAAGATGGCTTTCAGACCAACAATCTACTCAATGCTAAGCTAAGATCTTAAAACAATATGCTATTTTAGCTATACCAGTAAAATGAGCTTTATTACAATGAATGTTGAAAAGAAGTGGGTGGGGAAATGATGCTTGTTATACCTTGTTAAAGCATGTTTTAACCTTGCAGAAATAAATGTACTGATGATGTTATCTAATTTGGTAATGAAACACTTTCAACAGAACAGCCAAACAGAGAGCATCAACATTTACATCAATAAATGTAATTTATGTGTTTATGTATTAGATAAATTCATTTGTAAAGGTAACTCAATTTTGAGTATATAAATACTGAGATATATTATTGGCAACTGTTTTACTGAAAGAAAAACATGTAGAGCATAACAATAGGAGAACTGTACAATGGGGCAATATGATAGCCTGCACTCCACACTTAATATGATGAAAGCTATTGCCAAAGTTTTTCAATCTGGACACTTAAAAATCAAGTTGACACAGGCAAGAACAGAACAGCTTAAATGGTAAGCATAGATATGCCCTCAGTGGTGGAATTGAAGTTCCAGTCCAATTACTGAAAGTTGCGCTGACATTTGAGTTAATTACATTTTATGATCTTTGGCCATAAAATGAAATGATGATCAACCGCCTTATTAAAATGTAGTTTTTCCAATTTAAAATAAATGTGGTATAATTGGGAAAACATCCAAATAAGCAATACAATTCAATCTGTATTTTTTTTGATTAATGGTAGCTTTATTTTCATATGTGCCATGAGAGTAGATACCGTCTTTTACTTTTATTTTGTGCTTTAAACAGTAGTCACAATAACAACAACACATACTTCATTTAGTACAATAACAATAGTATTTTAAAATATTAAGTCAAAATGAAATATTGCTTCTGAGCCACTCTAATACATGTTTCTCTACTATTTTCTTAGCTTGAGGCCTTGAGATATGTATCAAGGATTATGTACCTTTTAAAATAATCAATTCTTCATGCTTCTTTAATAGTTTTTTTAAAACAGATGATATATGTTTCCTCAAAATTCTGAAGTCAGATATCTTCAGACATCCCCCAGTCAAAAATGTATATGCAGCAATGTCACCTTTGGCCTTAATAAAAGTAATCTGGACTGATAAATATGATCAAACTGGCCTTTTCTTTCTTCTATAGATTCTAACTGTTCTCTATGTCTTCCTTGTTGCTACAATCATGCCCTGATTGTCATGGATAGAAATAAACTTATTACTGTGTACAATGCAGGAAGAGAATAAGTACCTAAATTGAAAACCACAAACACAAGAGACTTCACTACTGCAGATGACTTCAAATGGTCTTATAGAAATCATACCATCAATGTTGGCTGTAAATCTAATCACCATCAATAATCAGAGCAAACAGTTTGCAGAGAAGGAAGGAGGTTCTTAGCTGGAACAGAATGTGACAAAGTATTAAATAAGGAGCATATACTCAGAAGCTCTCAGTAGTAAACTGTAAAACTAGTACTTTTTTTGTTAAAAAAAAAAAAAAGATGCCGGAACTCACACATGTCATATAACCCGCCTTGCCTACCCTACAAGGTTCCATCCAAAAATGGTGCTGGATCTCCTTTCTGGGCATTCTATGACAAAAAAAAGCCCTGTGTAAAACTGTTTGCCATGAAAGGAATATAAAATAAATTTTATCAAAGATCTCATAGCTAGCATCCAAGGTGCTAAGGTCATTTAAAGAACTCAGAAGGAAGGGGGATGGAAATACTGTGTACCGATGTTTTGGTAACTGTTTCAGATGTTCCTAAAATTAGCCCTTTGCTAACTTTTCAGCAATAAGTTCCCCTTTCATTCCCTAATGATAATATTCCACTTTTGAAAATGTTATTGAATTTCTTTTAAGAATATTATAGAACTCACTGTGGAAAATAACACCACAAGTAATGAGGCTATATGGCTATCATTATCTAAAAAATGCAAGATTTATGTAAGCAATAGCAGTAGCCCTTGGCAGTTTGCTATTATATGAATTTGACACAATTTTACTTAGTTGCTCCAGCACAGCAGTTATGAAAACTGTAAAAGGCTATGCAATACAGATTAAGGTAATTGAGAGAGAACTTTAGTTGTGACTAGATAACCCATGATTCATTGAGTCATTATTTCAGAGATGTTTCCTTACATAAGCCGGCAAACAGATGACTTCAGGTGGACAAATACTGCAATCAAAATGACTATTGTTGGTTTCCCTATTTAGTTTCTTTGTGGGGAGCTGGCAGTGAACATCAGACATCTTCTTTCCCTTCTCCCCTCTCATCCCTCTTCCTGCCTTCCTTCTTTCCTCCCTTCTTTCCTCTTCTTTCCTTCTTCCCTCCCTCACTCCCTCCCTTCCTTCTCTCCCTCCCTCATTTTTTTCCTTCTTTCCTTCCCTCTCTCCCTCTCTCCCTCCCTGTTCCCTTCCCTTCCCATAGACAGGTTAGTTGCAAGGCAACACACAAGTGGCCAGTGTAGTGCAAGTGGATGTTGCACCATTTCTCTATTGACCTTCTCCCTACAAACTTCCCAGAAGCAAAGACTTTGCTAGTTGGAAGGTAGCCAGGAACATCAGTAATCATATCAATTCCTTCTGGGTTCCCCATTGACTTGTGGAAGCTGTCACGGAATGTTAAAAATAAGAAAGAGGTGACTATGGCAATGTGGTGATGGCACTGAACATCAGCAGCCCAACAGCACTGAAAATGGCAAAAAAATATATCCTCAAATGTCATTCTTTCAGATATAATGGGGACCAGTATTCTGTAAATTAATCCATTTGGGATACCTTTGTCGATAAACCTTTGCCCTGTAATGCAGCATTTCACACAAATGAAGATTATAAAGTATCAAACAGACACAAGAGTTTTAGTAGTATGTAAATTATGGGGTCAAGATGTTTTCCTAAACATCCCTTAATAATTGTCTGTCGGACAATTTTACAATTAAATTTCCTGCCTGAATGAAGCAGATGAGTAGAATTTAGATTTTTTTTTCATTTCTTTATTAATTCCCTATCCCCTACCAGATTATTTTTGCACTTTCAATTCCAGTCACAGCTTGTTCTTTTTTGGTAAGGTTGTCTAGACTTTATCTTATTTCTTCAACTCAGAATCTTTTACAGCATTCTGAGTTACATAACTGACCTGTTTTTTTTTAAAGAAATTAAAAGGCAAACAACAAATCCACCTGTCTGGGCTCAATTCTATATTCATCTTTTTAAGGGAATGTTTTATACATTTCTTTTTGAAATCAGCTTAATGAGGCCAATTAATCTTTTGTTTTAAGGTTCCTAGCTAAAACAACAAAGAGATGGTACAGTATCATTATGCAGCATTATTAAGTGAAGAATTTACTGTATGCAGCATCAAACTCCCAGAGGAACAACTCAATCAGGCAAGAATATATAAATAGGTACTCTAAGCCTTAATAAGTCTTACCAAATTATATGGGTTATCCATTTTTTTCTTGGTTTTACTCCTTATTGAAAGGATCAAAGCTCCAGTGAAAGCTGCTGTAGCATTGTTTATGTCTTCAAATTAGTTCCCAGCAGCTCCTACTTCTTAGAATTCTGTAATAAATGAGCAACTTTTTAATCCATAATTCTACTGGAATGCAAATTAAACCATAACTCTATTGGAACTGGTGACTGCAATTAACCAGTGTTATTTTTAAAAAAATATAAACATGCAGAAGAAAGAAAAGGAATGGGGCATTTCCTCCATCCACATAGGCAAGTGGTCAAATAATGATTAACTGTAGAAGAAATAACATATGGATGTAGGCTTTCATGACTAGTCTCTATGAAGCATTCCTTGGGAGGAATGGTCATAATCTAGTTTCGCCAGCAGCTGTGACTGGCATCTGCAGAGGCAGAGTGAGCTGCTTTGTTATGTACCTCACAAGCAACTGAACAGGGACTGGCAACTCTGTATGTACTGTACTGTATGTCGTCCTGGCAAGTTGATTCCTAACTGGTCCATGCCACAGGAATTCCATGCCAGGAATCAGTTTCTTTGGACTCCCTCAATCTGAGATCATCTTGCCAGGTTCAAATGCAAGAGCCCAGGCCACCCTGTTCAATTGCCTGTGAGATGCCAAGGGGTACATCACAAAGCAGCTCACTTGCTTTGCAGAGCAAATAATTTGTTTACAGCAGATTTTGCTTGTGCATGCCTAAGAGTATATGTATGCATATACTTCGCAAATTCTCTCATAGGTCACTTAATGGTTGTATAAATGATATCATTAACTTACTATTAATTTTAGCATGTTATTTATCATTAATATTATAAATATGTACATGCACACACCACAAATACATATGTATATGTCCTGAAAAACAATTAAAAGAAGTATGGCAAAATTATATGTGTATCTTCAACCAATGCAGCAAACACTCAGGAATATTTCTCAGATATAACTAATATGAACAGCCTATATGTTATACTTTCCTTCATTGACACATTTTTTTTCACTCATCAAATCCTAGATTCTAGTCTCGTTCACAGGAAATGAATTATTCAGCTATCCCTTCAGAGTCATTTGATGCACTGTGTGCACAGCCATATACAATACAGCTGGCTGGACTGCTATTTATGGCTTACCTTTACAGTTCTCCGGAACAGGAAGAGACCATACCAGCTGGTACAAAGAAGTCTGGGAGGCCATCATTTCTTGCACTATTCCCCTCCCCCTCCTTTATTTCCAAAAACACTGAAAAAGAAAACTACAGCACACAATAAAGGACTGCAGATTTAAGAGAACTGTAGCCACCTGGCTGGTATCTGCCTTATCTTCTGAGGGATTGGGGTAGAATAGAACAATGACAGATGCAATGTTCCTATAGCATCCCCATTTCCATAGAGTGGCTCTAGTATATTATTTAAATCTTGGGGGAAAGGAGGTCATTGAAAATTCCAAGCAGCAATTCAGATGATGTCGTTGACCAGGGAGATTTAATTTAACAACAACAACATATCTCTGAGTGTCTTTTGGTTGCAATTTAGCTTCTGATCTTGGCTTCCATTTGTTAACATATCATTAAGCGCAACAGCCTTAGAAAATTGGAATTTAGTATTGTAAAAATGCGGAAAATCATTAGTTTACTATTAAAGACCCCCCAAAAGTTAATGTGGTATAAATTAGTTAATTTTTTTTTTAAAAAAGTAAAGGTAAAGGTTTTCCACTCAATCATGTCCAACTCTACGGCATGGTGCTTATCTTGGTTTCTTGGATGAGGAAGCCAGCATTGTCCGAAGACAATTTCCGTGATCATATGGCCAACATGGCTATACACCAAAGGCACATGGAACATTGTTACCTTCCCACAGAAGGGTTAAGTAATCTACTTGCATTTGCATGCTTTCAAACTGCTAGGTGGCAGGAGCTGGGGCAAGGAACAGGAGCTCACCCTGTTGCAAAGATCTCGGGTCTTGAACCCTGGCTGTCAGTTCTCCAGTTGACAAACTCAGTGTCTTTAACCACTGAGCCATCATGCCCCCTTAACATTTACTCAAAAGCATGACTTAAACCTGTATCCACCCACTGCACTTTGAATATCAGGAAAGAAATGGGGAGAAGATTTTATGCCAAAGATGGCAAAATAATGTGTTTATTATCAAGAATGATATTACACTCTAATTAGGAGAGTGGGACACCATTTGCTACTTGCCTCAAGCAGAGAGAATGCCCTGCAGAGAGATTCCATTGAAATGCAAATTCAGCTTTTGAAGTATTTTGTTGTTGTTGTTGGAATTCTTCCAGGAAGAGGAATAATTCAATTCCACCCACCATTCCACTTAGTTTCAAGGCTATTCTAGCTAGGTCAGCAGTAACCAAGGAAAGCATTGAACCATACTTCCTATTTGTGTACCAGAAATGACCAAATTAATGCAATTTAACATCACATCTAATTGGACCTTGTTTATCAGTAATTTGCATTCTAATTAGCTCTTATTGGTTCTCCTGTTTAGCCCTTATTCTATCCCTCACCCTCCTTTTTTTTTTTTTTTGGTCTGTTGTTTATCTTGTCTCTGCCTATAGACTGTAAATATATTTTGGGGGAAAATTGTCCTCTTTATCTTGGCCACATATATAGATGACATGGTACACATCCCTGTATATATTAACAAAAAGAAATTAAAAATAGAGGTAGACATCTGCTGATTATACAAGATACAAATTGCTAGGTAAATAATATCATAGTTTTATAGAATTTTCCAAGGTTATCAGACAGCCACAATTGGAATGACAATACTGGGCCCAACACAATTGGGGCTTGAGTTCTTAAAGTGTTGAATGAATTTACTCATTATATTTGATAATATTGATCAGATACTAAGTAGTGAAAAATAAAATTAATCTTTTGTGCATGGCCAGAAATAGAAGCTGAAGAAATGATTCCACAAGCCCATCATTATCATTGCTTAATGAACTATTTGCCATTTTGACTAGCCCATTTTAACAATATTTAATAAAATTTAAAAAAACAATTATGAACAGTATTAATAAACAAGACTTGTGCTTAATCACATGAATGGATTCAATTCATGATATGTGCGTGTTTAGGATGTTGAAACAGATTTTTTTTCTAGGTCTGAGATCAGGTTACTGGATATGAGAGGATCCATTTCTACCTTGTTATTTACATGTGAAGTTGGTGCCACATAGCAATCTGCCTCCTGGGGTTCCTCAGCATCTCCTCCCAGTGGTTCCTCTCGATTCCCACAGCATGCAGACCAAGACTACACTTGCCCAGTAAGCGGTTCTGCCCATCAGTATCCTGGCTTAGTATCTCCAGCTCTACACTTGAAGCACAGAGAAGATCATGGGGCACCTCAAACATGATCATCTCATTCCATACTGGGTTGATCTTGTGTTTTGCATGCTTTGTCTGCTTCTTTTTCAGTTTCAAGGCCTGGTGCTTCAGTGTCACTTTGACAGATATATCTGCAGGGACAAGGATAAGATTTGGTCATATGAAAGCAGTCTTGAGGTATCAGTATTTTCTATCTTCCTCCTGACGACTAATAACTTGAGAAATTCTTGAAAATGTCAACTATCACCAAGGACCAAACTATGCATGAGACATGGGAAGAGGACTAAGAAGCTAATGAAAAGAGACAGCTGAATTTAGCTTCTTCCCACATCGAATGTCCTCACAGGTGGTAAACTCACAGGCCACAGCTAGCTCCCACAGAGTTGCACATGCTTAGCTGCACATTGTGAAAATGGATAGTATAGTTTCATGTTACAATTTAATAATATCATTTGACAGGCTGATGTGCTTTCTTTTTGAGGCACTTCTTATATGAAATGTCTTTTCATTGTTGTTTATTATTTATCATATTTATCATCCTCCCCCCAAAAAATTGGGCCAACCTAAATTTTCCAAAATTGAAGCCAAGGGAGAAAAAAAATAAATGAATCTTGGATTTTTGCTTTTTAACCACTTAGCAATCCATAAAAGGACCAGTCCCCTAATCCCACATCTACTAAGTTTACTCTAGAGCAGGGGTTCCCAACCGGGGATGTGAGACGATATTCCAGAGGGTGTGAAACTTGGGTATAGAAGTTTCAAAATTATAGTGTATATGAATAATCCATTGCCATTATTTCAAACTTTTGTAAGGGGTGCAAGAATATATCAGAAGCATCCTAGGGGTGCGCGGTATAGAAAAGGTTGGGAATCGCTGCTCTAGAGTTTCTGATATAGAACCTAATCAAATGTTTGCTGAAAATATATCATATCATAGAATCATTATCTATTGATACTCTCAAAATCCAGAATGTTGGTAAGACAGGATTTATCTTTGTTGAATGCTAGTTGATTTTCCTTCCTCAAAGCTTGCTATTTTTTAATTATTGATTCTACCTATTTTACTTTTGACACTTTTAAGAATTCTTGAATGGATTCCATCAGAGAGTTTACATATAAATTCTATGTAAGCTTTGAATTATTTACATAACACCAGGAAAAAATACATTAAATACATACATGCAATCCACACATATTCACATATCCACCCATAATCTTTTATCATACACCACAATTTTTATTTCTAAAAACCCTGCCCATTCAGCATCTGTTCCATTCATTTTGTGGCTCATATTAATCATGTCACCCAAATCTGTACACGCCAACAGTGATTAAGTGCACCAATCTGTTGGATACTTTTAAAGGCATTAATCATTCTTAACATTTAGCTGAAGGAGAAATGGACAGCCTTTTTTACTCTGAGGGCTGCATGTGGCAATTGATAAGGGGTCTAGGATTATTATTTCATGGTGGATTAAGAGTGGGTTGATCCTGAGCCAGCAGTGGCCAAGTTTCCTATAAACACATCTGACATAAACATAATCACTTGTGCTATTTACACATATATTATATGCGTCTTCAGTCATGTAAGCTTCAAAATACATAGGCAAATGGGGGTCACTTCTCCATTCCTTCTCCATGGTAGTTTCATGTTTTTTTGAATGTAAGTACAGCTCTCTACCTGATCTAGGAAATTAATAAATCAGTCAACTGTTCAACTATTTTCAGAAAATAGTTGAAAATGTGGCCCTCAGACAGAGTAGTAATGGTAAGCCCAGCTTATATGTCTATCCATTCCCCATTTTCAAGCCCTCGTGCATAACAGTATTAACACATGAAAAAGTTTCTCTTTCTTTCCTTCCTTCCTTCCTTCCTTCCTTCCTTCCTTCCTTCCTTCCTTCCTTCCTTCCTTTCTTTCCTGTACATGCAAATGCACCCAGGCCCATAAATGAATTCCCCAGATTGTGAACCTTTCCCACTGTGCTCTGAGATTCCATCACACATACCCACTTGCCAAGCTGACAGGTGCTGTGAAGCTAAGGATTGTGCTTTTTCATTTTGTTCAGAACATGTAGTTTAAAAAATGGAGACTAAATGGCACTGTGTCTGTCCTCACAGTTTAAATTGTTTATTCCCTGCTTACTAACAATTGTTCAACAATATGGATAAGTATCATTTATTTATTTGTTTATTTATGTATTTATTTATTTATTTATTACATGTATATCACATTTGTCTCTAAAGCTGGGGAGCAGAATCTGTAGCCCTCTCAAGTCTTGGATGAAGCTCCTGCAGTCCCTCCTAAAATAGCTGCTGAATTATAGCTTTTAAAATGCTAAAAGGAAAATTTATTCAATATCGGTGAACAAATCATACTGAGTATGCCTTAAGAACTTTAATTTAATGTTATTGTAGATTTTGATGTTAAAGAAATTAATTTGATGTTGAATCTTATAACAGCTGCAACAGACTACTGGTGGGACAATACTGGAAGAAAAATATTTTGCCTACTATGGAAGAATGGATACTTAAGGTGTCTAATTTAGCAGAAATGGCAAAAATTTCCGCATATTTAAAGGACCATTCACAAGAAAAATATATTTTGGTTTGGAGAAAATGGATTGATTATATTCAAAAGAAATATCAGACTGAAAAATATTATCTTGCTTATGAGTAATTTTTAGAATATTGTTAATAGTTTAATATGATTGAATTTATATTATTTTATTTTATATAATATTTTATATTATATTATTTTTAGTATTATGGTTTAATTATATAATTATAGAATCATATAATTATTTTTGTTTTCAATTTGTTAATATTCATTTTGAAGAGTCAAAGTAGGTTATGGATTTGATTAATAGTATAGTTGGGTAATGTTATTTAGATTTTGTTTGTTTATTTGTAACCCTGTAATCAGCTCTGGGAAGTGGGGGAGGGGTGGGAGGGATTGGGGATATATATTGTGTGAAATTTTTAAAACTTTTAATAATAAAAAAAAGAACTTTAATTTAAATATGTATAAGTTTATTCCTAAATCATGTGAGATGGCTGTCAAATTCAGTTGAGAGACAGATGGGCCCAGAGTTACACTGTCAGTACTGTGGTCAAATGGGAGCTTCAGTCTGGGTCTCCTTGGTTCTACTCCAACATCTAAGCATTGTAATTTATGGTATCCATTTCTCAATTGTGATGGAAAGAAATCAACAGCTGTTTGACTAAGATGGGTGACATGATGGTATTATCCCTCCCCTCTTTCAGTCACCTTCCCCATCTCATTTACTCATCCTTCATCTGTCATTGATCTTCCATGACCAATGCTGGCTTCAGAAGCACCCAAGACCTGAAAAACTGGTTTCACAGAGGGAGGAGTGCATTTCCATTTAAAATACAACTGGCTGTCTTGCCAGTGTTAAATGAGTTTATCCACATGACAATCATATCACCTCTACTCTATACTGAGCCACAAATTTTAGGTCAATTTACTGCAATGTCCAGGCAATGATTCAGGATAGCATTTGCACAATCCCTGGAACCTTGGCCAGTTAGGACAATATTATTGCTTCAAAGTGACAGATGGAGACTGAGGCTCAAATATTTTCTTAAAGTCTAGCTATTGAATCTTAGCAGAAGTATCATTCTGGCTCAAAGCCTCCTTACATGACTTCACAAAAATATATGCATTTTATTACATTTATACAGCTGCCCATTTCACACATGTGACTAAATAGTATCCTTAGCATCAAATAATTAAAATATTTTATTTGGTGGCAGTTTGTCAGCAGACTTTTATTTCTCCCATACCTTTTCCAATGAGTTCTTTCAACTGTTTGGAATGGAGGTTCTTGGCTTTTATAAGCACCACAAGCAGGCGATTTGCTGCAGGCAAATAGCTGATAGAAAGCAGAACTTCCCCATAGCCTGTGTCTGGTTCCTGCAGTTCATGGAGAAACACAGAAAAGGAATGTACACTATATTTCCTACCTTTGTCTACACAAAGAAGATAACTGACAACCACAGAATATGTATGTGAAAAAGACAAAGATCCATACAATAGAATATAAAAGGTGAACACACACACACACACACACACCTTTGTTTTGCATCATAATGTAAAGATCAATACACGTTTCATCTTTCTTTCAATGTGGGCTTCTGCATTTTTGTTTACATTAGCCCGTGGGGAGATTTAAACAGGGTATCTGCAGAACTAAAGTAAATACGAAGCTAACAGTGGTTGGAAAGCATGCTACAAAGCTACAAATTCTGGGTTATCTTTCAATAGCATCTTCAAGGTGTTTTAAAGATATGAAAGTCACAGATGTGCAGCTACCTAGTAACTCTGGATGCATGTTTCCTAGCAACCAGGTGGAACAGGGAGCTTTCCTTCTGAAGTTCATAGGAGATAAAAAGAGAGACATTTCTTACTAGTGGTATTTCTCTAGTCTGCTCTTTTATTAGACAAAGTCGTGAAGTGTCATTCTATGTGAAGTGTCATTCTGCAGTAGGGCTACAGTTTTATTCAATCTACTGATTAAAGTTTTGATATTAAAGTTTTTGAGAATATGAGAGTAGTACAGAGAGAAATATTGTCCTTTGCTTATTATGTTATTTATTTATTTCTCTTCTTTCTTTCTTTCTTTCTTTCTTTCTTTCTTTCTTTCTTTCTTTCTTTCTTTCTTTCTTTCTTTCTTTCTTTCTGCACCAACCATTGAAGGCAAGGCAATCTCACTAGCAATAAAATCCTTTGTCTTAATGCATACAAGGAGCACTTGTGCTCAGGAACTGAAAACTTATTTGGCGATTGGTCTCAAAGTCACAAATTAATTTAATAAGGACTCATCTAGTGAAAGGCAAAGGGTGGACAGAAGAGTAAATCTATAAGAGGGAAAAGGAAGAGAAAAGTGAAAGGAAACTTGAAATATGCACTATATTAATTGTATAAGTTCTATATTAAAAATGGGGACATTACTAAAAATAAGTTCCCAACATCATACACAATTAGCCTTAGGACTCTCACTCCCTATGTACTAGCGGCAATGTTATTTTCAGAGTACCAACTATAATGTAATCGAAATGCACAAGAGGAAAGTTTACTCTTACATATACTTTGGTTATAATGTATTTAAGAGTAAATCTGATGTCCTATAAGAGCAAAGTCTAGTCACAGCACACAAAATATCTTGCATAAAAAATAAAAACCAGCAAGTCAACAAGAAAAAGCTATTTAGAGAGGTATAAATATTTCAGGTTTTTTTTTCTGGCTAGATGACACACATTATTGCAGACAGAGTTTCTCCTTTCTGAGGGCAGATGCATTCTCCAAAGTCTTTTCTGCCTGGAATAAATCCAATGCCATTTTTTAAAAACTCTAGTTTTCTCAGGGGAATTCAGAATAAGGATAAGCAACAATATATTCAGCTCAAGTTATATATGCCACTGAAACATCCATCTCCTCCTGACCTGTATAAATTCACCAAAATGCAGTAAACCAGATTATAAACAGTGGAGTCTACTAATTTAATCCAAAAAGGATTGTTTCTTTTGTTTTGAAATATATTAGTTTGCTTTAGTTTTATTTTGGGAATATGGTGACATTTTTTCACCAAAAGAGTTTTTATTTTCTCAAAAAGGCCTTTTTGGCAGAGTTTTTTGAATGCTGAAAAATTAAAAGTGGCTGCCATTGTAAAACAAAATGTCTTATTTGCCACTCACTGAAGATTGCCACTACATCAATTACTGGGCAGTAATAGAATATTAACTGACGATACACTACATCAGTGGTCTGTGGCCTATTAGAAATTGGGCTGCACAGCTGGAGGTGAGCAGCAGGTAAGTGAGTGAAACCAAAACCATTCTCCCATCCGTGGAAAAATTGTCTTCCACAAAATCAGATCCTGGTGTCAAAAACTTTGTGTACTGTTGCATTACATAGAATGGCTCAATTATTGTTCCAACAACTCATTTTATTTATAAACAATAGTAAGAAATAATTTTTCACCAATATTTATACTCCAATTCATGGATCCTATTGGATAGCAGAAATTTGAGAAATAGTACAATTGAATCCTATCAGTTAAGAAACTACAAAAAAAGTGAGATGGAGAGAGAAAGGATTCATATAGTAATGGTAAATTCATGTCATGCTATGATCATGATGTTGTCAATGATGGGACCTTGATAGAATAACTAAGTAAGTCATATGACCTAATTAGGCTTCAGGGCTGTACTCAGTTTAATGCTCTCAAACACAAGATGCATCACGATAACATAAAATTGTTATTACATACTAGGAAAAAGCCATAAAACAGTTGGTTGACCTCTGTCTACATGAAATTTCAATACTAACTGAAGTGGTTCTAAATTTTTAAATGATTGTTTAATTGGCTTTTTGCTCTGTTGTTCTTGACCTTGGGATTGGGCAATGGTTGATTTTGACAGAACTGATACTTTAGCCTTGAGAAACTTTGGTTCTTGAGTTAAATCCCACAGTTTCATTGATATTCAATTGATTTGTCCAATGGTCATATAGTCTGTGACTAGGGGAGGGAAAAATACTTTCCACTCTAATATAGACTTCAGCTTCAACTAATCAACCCTAACCCTAACCTAAGGAATGCACTGAATGTTTGCAAAGCTGAGCTAAGACATTTCACTGGCAGTGAAATATCTAAATATTCTTTACTTTTCATTCATTCTAATAGTGCTTCATCAGAAAAAAAATGTTTTGGACAATTTTATTACATGGGTTAAACCAGTGGTGGTGAACCTATGGCACGGGTGCCAGAGGTGGCCCTAGGAGCCCTCTCTGTGGGCACACGTACCATTGCCCCAGCCTCGCCCCCCTCATGACCCCCTCCTCTCTAACAGCCCCCCTGAAGGAGAGTCACCCCTGAGGGTGGCCCACACGGAGCATGGCAGCCAGGCAGCATAGACAGGACTCACCCCAATGTGCACAGTTGATGGTGCAGGGCACGGGCAGAGGGTGTGAGCATAGAGCTGCTGAGCTGCCTGGGCGATCTGCAGTGGGCCCTGGAGGTGGTGAGTGGCCCTGAGGGCAGGCGGCACGGGGAGTGGGGGGCGGAGCAGGGGCGGGGCCAGTTTTTGGGCACTCAGTCTCTAAAAGGTTCGCCATCACTGGGTTAAACTATTTCTTATTATCCATTTCTAAAAGCCCTAAAATATTCTTACAGTATGGAAGCAAATGCTTTCATGATATATCCATTTCTAAACCATTTCCTCTAATTGGGGTCTGTCCTTAAAATGAATGATAAATCCAAGATGAAATCATACCACAAGGTTTTGATTGTAAGCTAGTTGGTAGAATGCAGGAGATACAGTTTTATATTTTTGTGATACCAGCAGGTACTGTGATGTGATAAATCTTTTTGGAAATCAATGAATTTCCTGAGCCCATTTTAAAATCTACAGGACAGAATTACAATGAAGAAGTATCTGGTGTTTTCAGTGAAACTATTGAAATGACACAGAAAACTTTCAGCAGGCTATTCAATTCATCCAAAATCCATTCTGAATTATCAGTTTGAATCAACTTGACTAGTCTAATTGATTGAATATTAATCATATATTTGATTGGATGAAAAGTATGTTTCTGTATATAGAAAGGTCAAATCAGTTCAAAGGCACCCAATTTGATTGGATGCATCAATTTGATTCAGCAATTAGAAGGGGATTCAGCTGAATCATTTTCCAATCAAAGCTTGAAACTGGCATTATCATACAACCCTAGCTTTCAATAAACCTAATAAGCTCATCTTGGAAATACAGTACCAAAAATATTGCTTTTTTTTCCTCCTCTTTTTTAAAAATTTCTTTTCTGCCTAGCATCTAATTAATGATTCAGGACTTCTGTCTCGGTTCACAATGTAATAGCTGCCATTCTGAGGTCCCCTGTGAAGTACTCTTTCTTTCCATATGGTTAAACTGCAAAATGAGGACAGGATTCCAAGCCTGATAATCTGCTCTTGTCAGATTTGGGACAGCATTTCTACTTTGTTACAACCTCAGAGGCTGTCTGAAAAAGGCCAATTAATGAGAAATATGACTGTCAGTTGCTAAATATAACTGGATAGTATATCTTGCACTTATTATGTACAAACAGTTTCTTGGCATTCTTGGTATTGTATGTTCCTGGAGACCATCTGTAAGTTGACTGACTGAGGCCATCTGTTTGAGAGGTGTTATTATCCACCTGCTAGGGTTCTCCTGGGTTCAGATTTTTTTTTTTTTTTTTGGTAGAATAATGAGACTAATAGCAACATCTCAACTTTAGCACCTCTAACCATCTTCTGAAAAGTTGTAGTGCTTGCCCTCTGGAATAAAACCCAGAATAAAACATCACCTTGTTGGTGTTCTGAACAGCTGTAAAGATCTAGTTGTTCTTGTTGGGCTAAGGTGATTGATTTTCCTTTTCTTGGGTATGAGCTAGTAATTGCATGTTTTGGAATTTGGTGGGTTCATCATATTTGCGTGGAGTAACTGGTTCAGGGAACAATCCCTCTCTCTCTCTCTCTCTCTCTCTCTCTCTCTCTCTCTCACACACACACACACACACACACACACACACACACACACACACACACCTGTTAATGCATTCCAATACTGTATTACAATAACCCTAATTGTTTTTGTCCACTGATGATCCTCTAGGATTGCCAGAAACTTTTCCCACAAAACTCACACCAAGATAGATTTTCCCAGTATTTCTACAGTTGATTTTTCTTGCTTAGCTGCTGAATATTACATACCTCTTCACTGAACATTATTCTTTTGAATCTGACTTTACCCTTGCAAGGTAACTTTAAATCTTGATGCTGTTCTTTAATGAGGTGGTTCTTAACTAATGTGCCATGTGTCATAGGCTTGTTTCTAGTGTACCATGTTATTTTTTTCCCTGAGGTTATTTTTGTTGTTGTTTGTATTAGGAATATTCTATATAATATGTATATTCAATACAATACAGATATCTAAAAAATTCATAACGTCCCCTCAAACCATGAGTTATATATTTAAAAATAAGTATATAAGATTAAAAAAAATTGGTGTGCTACAGAATTGCTACTATATTCAATATTGTGCACCCGATTAAAAAAAGGTTGACAACCACTGCTTTAAATTATTAGCCAATATCATTCATTAAAATATTGACTAGCACTGGGCCAAGAATGGAACCCAAGGGGGATCATATTCAATATTTCTGTATTTGCTAATGGTGAAACATTCAAAAAAATCTAAAAACAATGTTGTTATTGGATAAAGTGAATTACGTCTCAGAAGTTTAGGAACACTGACGTGCAGCATTCTACATCCCAACAGGAGAATATAACATGCAGTAATATACTATAAGTGAACTGATAGAATACCTTGTCAAGGACTTTCACTTTCTCAGACTGTATTGGTCCATACTGCTCCCCTACAGAAGCCAGATTTGGTTTAATTTCACCAATAATGCTGTGTCTAGAGAACTTGTCACAGTTCCTCAAGGTGAGGGTCAGTGTCCCCTCTGGTAGCTCCTTCTCCTTGACCAGAAACAATAGAGCTTCTTCCCAAACGATGTGGGCTTGCTTCTTCTTCATCACAGTCTGGGCTTCTATAGTTCCAGAGTTGCTCACCAAAGTGCCTAAGATGTAGCAATCACTTCCACTGTTTTGGTCTCCTGCTGTGGTTCCATATAAAACTAGTAGAAGCAGATGAAGGGAAAAATTCAGATAACATTTAGCATTTAAATCCTGTGCTAAAATATTTTCAAGAGACTACTATTGTTTGATTTGGTTTGATTTAGAGCAAAGTTGAGGCTTTGATGTAATGCAAAAAAAAAGCAAATTTCTCTGCAAGCTTAATTGGGCATGGGTCAAACTACAGGCTTCTGTCACCTGTCATCCTGATTATATATAGATTACGGATGACAGAGTTGTATTCTGATTTAAATTAATGGCAGCAGAAAACATAGCTGTTTTCCTTTCATTGTAATTAATGCCATTCATATCTTGGTTTTATGGTGATTTAGAAATATCTAAAGAGAAAGAAAATGCGAGAGTAACAATGTAATCTGGTGAACTCTGTTATGTTTCATTTTTGAATTAATATAATAGATGATATACACCCACATACGTAGTAGTCTTGAACCTGTTAATTGTCATAGTGGGGAGGAGTGTTGGGATTGAGGGGGGCATCCAGAGATCTCTAAATGATAATTCAATAGTCCTAGCCAGCATGGCCAAGAGTGAGAGATATTTGATTGTATAATAGTTTAGCAATGCCTAAAGCAAGGGTAGGCAACCTTGGCTCTTTTATGACTTGTGGATTTCCAGAATTCCTGAGCCAGCATGCTGGCTCAGGAATTCTGGGAGTTGAAGTCCACGAGTCATAAAAGAGCCAAGGTTGCCTAGCCCTGGCCTAAAGGCCCACTGAAATACCGGTTTGGAGTTTTTTGTGTTTTTTTGTAATCAAGAGTGACCAACATTCTTCTACATTACCCTCCATTATTTCCTAATTCAGACATCATACAAAACCAGTAAAGCTTTTCAAAAGTCAGCTGTATGAGAGAAGGGCAAAGAACTAATAGATGGAGATATGGCTTATTACTAGGGTAAATTAAATTATAATTTATTGGATAAGGATAATTATGCCTTTATTTTACCTTTATGTGACCTAGTCAATTACTTACTCTCTTCTGTTATGTTTGCCATATGCAAAAATAATTTAATTTTATGTTTAGAATAAAGTAAAATGATGAGACATGTGAGACATTAAAATTATGTATTTCATTGCTACCCCTAGCTATGAGAATCCAAATCATTGCTTGGAAAGTAAATTATACGGATATTTTTATAGCCTTTAATATGTTTTTTTCTTTTCTTTCTTATCTTTACACCTTTAAATCCAGCCCTGAATCCTGGTGACTGTGTGGATAAGTCCCTGCAGTTTTCTAGGCAACATTTTTCAGAAGTGGTTTGCCTCATCCTTCTTCCTGAGGATGAGAAAGAAGACTGGCCCAAGGTCACCCAGTTGATTTTGTACTTGAGGCCAGACTTGAAATCACAATTGCCCAGTTTCTACTAACTAATGCCTTTAACCACTACACCAGATTGTCTCTCTCTATAAATGTCTTTTCTTAAAGTCTTAAAGGCAAGACACCAGAATATAAACTGACAGCAAGCAGCATTCTTTACTAGCACTGATGATGTTACCTAGTTAGGGTAATGAAACCTCTGCAAGAAAACAAGCAAGCTCAGAGAGCACCAAGGACCCTTCTTAAAGTCTTATTTGTTGGGAATAATCCTATGATTATTCTGATGTTGTTAAGAAGACCTGGCTTTTCACTCAGGATGTTGACAAGAGAGAATGATACCTCTTATTTCATCACATTAGCCATCATTTATTTTTTACATTTTATTGCATTGTAATTTCTTTGATTGTTAGCTGCCTAGGAACATTAAGAATCAGATGACATACACATTTAATAAATTATAATTATCAGATATTTTCAATCACCAACTTGCAAAACTGGAGGTCTTTACCTTCTAGGAAAGCAACGGACAGAGCCTCTTTCTGTCGGTTATAGCCCAGACAATAATGAAGTTCTGGGACTTGATTGAAGGCTGCAGCATTTTCAGGACTCAGGCGCTCAGTGACACAAACATCTTTCACCTCACCTGAAACTCAAAAGAATGTTAATTAGAAGTTGTGCCCTATTCCAGATAAGATGACTATTGGTCAGTGTTGTATTTTACCACTTGAAACCATGATATAAAATGAATGGAAACTGAACTTCACGGAAATAGAATCAAGACAAAGAATCAAGGTCAGAGTTAAATTTGATTTGATCAAAATTAAACAAATTAGAGTTAATGTGAAAAAAATGTCCCTAGGTGTAGTAATTTTCCTCTTTTATGACATCAAAATGCACTTTTGAAAATTTTTGGAGCCATATCAAAAGATTATGTTGAAGAAAACTGCAAAAGCCCTACAGTCTCACTTCTCCCTCTTCAATATAAAATTACCTAACTTATTTGTAACTCAAAGTTTTATGATACTTTGAAAATTTGGACATTTGTGGTAGCATAAATGTTGATGAATGTCTTAAAAATTGCTGTGTAAATGGCCACTTTCAAGAATGTAAATTTTTCTGTAAATAAGTGCTACAGTTGATTTTCTTCTGATTTCATTCTTTATACTCTGCAACCTCAAATTTGGATTTCTATATATACATAGTCACATACGAATCACAGGAATTTTATCATGAAATCAAAGATGATGGTATACTAGGGAGCCAAGAATATAGGTATTGGTTGAAGTAGTGCTGTGGGTTTCCTGGACATATCCTTGGCCTGCTGGCAAATAGGACAGGTGGAGAGTATGGTAGACCTTGGTCTTCCTACAAGGCCACCAGAAATTCTAGGTGACCAGCTTAAGTCCCCTACCCATGGGCATTTTGTGAGCTAGGCATAATATTTACTTTTGAAAGTCAATCATGTGCACAAAAAACTGGTTTCACTGTTATAGATGTATATTTTGGACATTAAACAGGGAGGTTATGGATTGGCTTATGCTTGCCCAGAATTTCAGGGGTTGGCCCTGCATATATTGGTCATTTCTCTATAAGTTTTGAGAGCATGCCATCAAAGAGTAGGTGGAGAGAGCCATGGAGATGAACTTGAGGAAACTAAGCAGAAGCAGTTGTTATATATAGGAAAGAAAGCATTCTTTAAAGCCAAAGAACAGCAAAAATAGGAAAAGAAATGCAGACTGACTTCTCCCTAATTCGGAATACAATAAGAGGGAGGGAAGAACTCATACAGCCTTTCACCAGCCTTTGTTACTATAATCTATAACTATAATCTGTATTAATAAAATGTAGTTCCCTAAAGAACTCCATTTCCAGCTCAGAAAGAACATACAGTTGAATCCTTGGAATTGTTATTCCCAGAATCAGGTATATAATAGTCATAAGGGCAATGTGGAAGAATGTGATCAGTTTCCTTTTCATTAAATACACCCTGGAATGGCAATTACTTAACCAGGAATTGATCCCGCTTGTCGTTGGTTAAAAACAATGCTTGGGTGACCTGCAGAGTTTCTAGATCTTCCCGACACTGATCTTAAAAAGATGAGTTTGTATTTGGATCAAATAATCAGCCTATCGTGAGCCTGGAACCATGAAAAACCCAGAACTAATTGAAACTGGATAGCCAGAGTAACCACCAGGACTTGATCTGTTCTTGATGTTGTTTATACTTGCAGGATCAAAAGCTCAGTAATTTTATTCACATATCCAATGTAGTTGATTGCTCCAAGGATGAAGAAAGATATTCTTGATGCTGTATTTGAATCACAGTAAAGAGTTGAAACAAGCCAAGGTAAAAAAAATGCAGTCGGATTCAGAATTGCAGAGAAAGGAGTTGGATGCCAACATTGCTTCCAATAGCTGTAGAACAGAAGTGCCTGAGTTTAATTACTTTTCCAGCTGGATGTGTTCATCTGCTATGCCATTTCAACAGCTAGTGCTAGTAATAAGGCTGTGAGCTATATCAGGGCATGGTGTTTTCCTTCTGGGACAGTCTGCTGGGCCATTTGACAATCTGCTGGTCCAAATATTTTAGAAACTGAGCAGGGTCCCAGCAGTCCTAGAACTCAGAAAAGAAAGTCTCTTCAGCATCCTCCATACTCTGATTAGTCAATCTCTTCCCATATGCAGAGACCAAATCTACCTCATGAGAATGACAATATCTAGAAGGCACCATTTATGTCTGTTTCTGCCCATAACTTTAGGGTAATCTTTCTGTTATTGGTACAAAGATTCATTTCTTGATTCAACCCAAGATTGTTTTACTTACATGCTTATCACAAGACAGCTTGTCATATATTCTTACAAAATAGCTACAACAAGGAGTTTGCCTGTCTGCAACATGGTTGCCATGGTAGACCTAAGCAACCACAAAACATAGAAGGAGAGTGGGTGACACTGTTCCTCATATCCTTCTTCATTTCCCAGAAGTTCTTTGTGGTTATCCTTGATATTAGAAAGGGAGACAGATAGATATTCCAAGCAAAACACTGGGCTTTTGATATTTTCCAGGAAGATGTTTTGACCATGTGTTGATTTCAGAAGTTTTCTTAAAGAACGTACAGTATAATATGTCTATCTGTCTGGCTGTCTACGAAAAGGAATAGAGCCAGGACATCTACCAAAATCACTGAACGGCTCATTGTTGGAGATACAATCTGAGAAGCCAGAGAAAATGATCCACTTGAAACTCTAACATTGAAATTGGACAAACCCTTTAAGATATCAGAATCGTCTTCCACTTCATTCCTAGGAACATTTCCAGTTTGCCATCTGACATGAATCTTTCAAGGTTTTTCATTCTTGTCTTTCATTATTCACAACCATTGTAGTGCATGCATCACTATTCTTTAAAAGGATGAATTGTAATAGCAAGTTAAATTGTTAAAGGAAATAAATGCATCAGTTTAATTTCTGTGTGAAACATTCAGAAAAACAGAACTGGGTTTTTATTTATTGTCATTAAAACCAGCTTAATAATATATATTAAGACATTCACAATGCATATTGAGCTGTCGACATCTGTTGTGCATTCAAGGGTTTTTCTACATAAGCCTTTCCCATGATGCTCTCCAATTGCATTGAATTATAAGTTAAGTGCATCTGCTCTCTGAAAAAATCTGCATCCTAATATCTGTAAGGTGTCTATACTGTTATAGTTTTCAGATGCTTGTTGAATCTCTTCACCCGAGCCTAGCTTTTGAACAAATGGTTCAGTTTTATTTTTCTTATCCTACAACATTTGGAATTATTTATTTTTAAAAATTATTATAACAATCCTTTTCATGTACGGTTGTTATACTTTAATTTAAATCACTTTGAAATGCAGTTGCGTAAGAAATCATTTTAAAATAACATAAATAAATTAAATTATCTTTAGTCACTATGGCTATGGAACACACTATCTGAGGATGATGTAGACTACAAAATGGGAAGCTGATCTATTAATATCCAAATGAAATTTCCTAGCTTGCCCGAAATAATTAATGTTTCTTTTATTCTTTCATCGGAGAGCTCTCTATCCCCAAGAAATGGAAAATAATTAAGTGCAAATGATTTTTCCATTCAAAATACATTTCTTTATATGCTTCTAGAGGTTTTATCATGCCTGCTAGCAAATCCCCTAGAAAATTGAATATCCGCTACCATCCTAAGAATAAAATGAGTTTTTAAAAATGATGCTATGAAGAGGAGAAAATCAATAAGGATGTTGAACAATAGGATGAAATTTGCCAGATGTGAACAATTACATAGATAATTTGCTCAAAGCTGAGATAATGTAGATTAAGATTGTTTAAAGCCTTGGTGCATTTCACCTTTGATATGGTATATTATTGTGCAATGTAAGCCTAACCCTTAATTGTATACTTCTGCTATGCTGGTCATGTGCTCTGAGACTCATAACTAGAAATAAAATCCATTATGGTTTCTCATTTAAAGAAGAAGCAATCATAAGCAATTTAACAAAGGCCCTACCATTTTGAGGGAGAAGAAATAGCTCTTCATTGACTTGTATGGTCATTCTTTTCTTATCCAGGGCTTCAGGTTTTCCCTTGCTTGGTTCTTCTTCTGTCTTCGAATTGTAATCTACATAGTTAACAATTTCTGAGGTGGTGACGACAGGCTTTGGGCCATAGATGTGAGGAAAGCCGAGGATTGTCCGGGGTTGTACTGGTTCTGCTGTCTTCTCAACATTAAACTGAAACAAAAAGACCTCAGATTTTTTTTTTATTGCATTCATTTAGAATTTATTGTAGCAAAATATGCTCCTTTGACTGTGAACTTACATGAGAGGAATGATACATTACTACGCATCATATTTTGGAAATCAAGGAATTTTCTTCCTAAAGAAACATGCTAAAACAGTGGTTCTCAACCTTTTTAATGCTGCGACCCCCAACCAGTTGTAAGTCGAGGACTACTCAACCGGTTGTAAGTCGAGGACTACTCAACTGGTGCAGCACCGTTTGCAGAATGGGACTTTTGGCGGGCTCAGCAGGGCAGAGACATCCTGGACAATTCCTATTGGCTTTTGAAAGCCAATAGAATTAGACTCTGAATAAAAGGGAGCAGCACAGCTAAGGAAAAGGGGGAAAAAATGGTGGACTGCGTTGTTTGGTGACCCCCATGAAATGGTCGTTCGACCCCAAATGGGGTCCTGACCCACAGGTTGAGAACCACTGTGCTAGAATCTATTTTTAATTAGTCATTCTAGTCCGTACTCCTAATTCTCTTGTAATTCTTTCCTTCTCCTTTTCTATATACCATGTGGATTAGAAATCATTTAAGCAGAAAATGCAATTGCTTCCATATTTTGTGGTACATACATGAAGGTCCCTAGAGTAAATAACAGGAAAGGGTTGCAGTAATTTCCCTCCCAGCCCCAACAATCATGCTTTATATATAAACCTTCAATTCCTAATAGATGTGTCAAGGTTTCTAGAAATAAATGCAGATTTATTCACATTGCATATATTTATGTTCTGAAAATATTTTTCCTGTGTGTGTGCACAGGAATGAATGGGAATAAGTGGGAATGAATGAAAGGGAAAAATGGGAAGTCTTGATAAATTTAAGAGGTATTTTCTTCCCTCTCAAATATTTCTAAATAAATTCCAAAATGCTGAGGATTGCTCTTTCCTTGTGAAAAAGCTGAGCCTACCGACCACACTCCAGCAGCCAAAGCAGAGAGAATGAAAGCATATGCTGAAGTGTAATTAGTGTTTTTCATTCTTTTTTTTTTAATTTTTGTCTTGTTATTAATGCATGTAGACCGCATCCCAAAGGAAAAATTCAGGGCAGCCAAGTCCTTTCCTTGCCAGTCAGCTTGTCTGTGGGGAAGCTCTCTGATTCGTAATGCACTGTATTGTAGCATCTTTTGCAGCCATGATCAGCTCCAGATCCTAAACACAGCCATGCATAGCCAAGAATAAAGATGATGGGAGATGTAGCTATGGATAGTGTTGTGTTCAAAGCAGTATTTTAGTTTATTCCTTGTATGCTATTTGCAAGAGCACAAATTAAGAACCTGCCTAAATTAAGTTAAATAATTCTTATTTAAGGAAATAATAACTGGCTATTTACTTCATTAGAAAAACCTAACTAGGAATTATATGGACATAAACCTTCAGTTCTTTTTTCTTTTGTTTTGCTTTTCATTCTATGCTTCCATCCCATAAGGAAGCATAGAATGAAAAGCACATATAATTTGCTTACACTGGCACTTTTAATTGAGCTTTATAGCATCAATTTATATATATATTGCTGAGACTCCCATTGGTAAATGGGAAGCTAGAAATAAATGGTAATAGTCCTAGTATTATTGCCCATGTTTTAAAACAGAGCATAAGATTGACAGATATTTTAAAAGTAGCATGTTCTTCAGCTCTTAGGATAAAAAAGCCAAAGGGAAGAATGCCTTATAATAAATATGAGAGGCCATAATACAATTAATTCCATGAACAAACAGACTGTCTATCTATCTATCTATCTATCTATCTATCTATCTATCTATCTATCTATCTATCTATCTATCTATCTATCATCTGTCTAAAACTGAGTTGTTAACTTTGAAGGGGTTGTTGTTAAATTATCTCTCTATATACAGTATAGGTAGCATGGATGCCTATATGAAATTATTTAATTTCTCCTTTCTTTGGAGGACATAGTTCTCCTTGGAGGGAGAAATCAGAAATTTCGTTCCTCATTCTTGTCTGTCTTCCAGCCTCTGCATGCCAGGATTTTTCCAGAAACTTCCAGAATTTCCAAAGAGGACCAGAGAGAATTTTTAGGGCAGTGGGATAGAGAAGAAGCAGTGAAGACTGCAACGATCCAAAGAACTGTACTGTAATCACAGTCACTTCTTACTCCCCATGTGGTATTAAGCAATCACACCTCCCATTATAGGTAATAAAATGGTATATCTTTAGGGGAAAAAATAGCTCATGTAAGTAGCATGTAATTGCCCAGACCAAAGCATCTTATCTCAGAGTACAGTACACTGACAGCTGCTCAGAATTGTCCTGTCCATAAAATACCATTTGAACAAGGTTTTGCATATGAACAAAACATCACTACTGATATGTGTTTCTACACTATTCTTACTAAATACCCAAATGGATATTTTAGGCCATCGCAAAGCTCATGTATATATTATGGAGTATTTTCTCTTACTTAAGTAACAGTGGATTTATAAATATGAGGCACTTTATTGAAGCCACCACGCCAAAGCCAGACACTCTAGTGGCACTCTGTCATCATGTAACAAGAGACCGTCCTTTTGGGAGCCATATAGAGCTACAGCGGGGAAAGGATCGACCACATTGCCAGCTACATCTGTTCCTCTTTATTGTGTATATGACCTATTCTGTCAGTCATGAAAAAGTGATCCCCACTCCCTTTGACAGATAGGTTTTGTGCTAAATAAAATTATATGAAATAAAAGTTTGAATGAGAACAATCTGTAAAATACTGAGGCCTTAAATAACATTTTGGATATTTTTTTCCCTTTTGGCATAAGTAAAATTGGCAATAAATCACTGCTAGGCTGAACAAACACCAGCTGCTGGCTTAGAGTAGAAGAAAGGATTCTGCTGTAAGGCAGACCATCACAAATTAAAAATATGCAAATAAAAATATACTTAGGTTTTAGATCTAGTTTGACTGCATTTATTAACTAGATGATAATTAACTGCTAGTTTATTGACTGCATCCCAAACTTGATTGCTTCCATTTGGGTTTAGGATTATACAAGTTTAAGACCAATATATTTGGAAAGCATCAGTTTGAGAAAGATTTGAGGCACTTCAAATGCAGACAGGCAGTAATAATGCATGGAAATATGTGTGGCTCATATTACCGTAAGCCATGCTTGCTGAAGATTTAGTAAACCACACTTAACTGTGGTTTACAACGTACAAAGATGGATTCACATGACAAGCCAAACCCAATTCAAGCAAACCAAATCATGGCATGTTAGTTCCTTCCAGAATGTCAGGGTTATTAATTCAAACACGAACCTATGTGCTTGACATAATGATAATTTTTAAAGGGATGAAAATCTACTGCAATTATATGTGCAAAGCAACTGTTATAAATGGATACAAGAGACATGAAAATACACCTCCCACACAAACAAACCAAATTAAGTTTCAGGATTGAAAGGAAAAGGCTTCTCTTCCAAACACACATTTGGAAAGGAATCATTTTCCTGTGATTTTTTTTTTAAAGATTGAAGCAATAATCAGGATTAGGCAGGCAGCCTACTCCTTTAATCATGTAATTGTGACAACAATTCACACTAGGTATGACAACTTGCTCATTGACTGTATTGGCGGATAGTGAATATGTCTAGACCAGTGTTTCTCAACCTTGACAATTTTAAGGCATGTGGACTTCAACTCCCAGAATTCCACAGCCAGCAGTGCTGGCTATGGAATTCTGGGAGTTGAAGTCCACATGCCTTAAAATTGTCAAGGTTGAGAAACACTGGTCTAGAGAAACAGACATTACATTAGATTAGCATCCGAGGGTTAGATTTCCTATCATTCCATTACAACAGAAACCCAATAGTAAGAAGATGGATTCTGAATTAACAGAGTAGTTGACTATAACACAAGTAACTTCTCTTGCCCCACATTTCAATGATGTGATCAAACCTTGTCTTGATTTAAGTATCTCAAAAGCTATTTTGTTTAAAGCTAAAATCACAAGGCTTTCATGGAACTTCTGTAGCACAGTAAAAACAGAAATGAAAGCCTAAAACAGCTTGCACATAACTTGTTCTCTATATTACAAGTAAAATCTGGCATCAGACTAAATTCCTGAAAGCTCATTACATGGAAGGAATAGCTTGTTCAGTGCTTCTTTTAATAGAGCTCCCCCCCCAAAAAAAAAACACAATCGAATGTGTGCTATGTACCATGTTTCATTATTGTTTTCTTGCTTGTGCTCTTGTTTTAAAATAACACATGTCCCACAGAGTCACTTTGGCAGTTGAGGTGGCTTATAAATGGAGAAACTAAGCTGTGTATAAATAAATAAACCTGCTCAACTTTTCCAAGCAGAGATCTCTCATCTTACAGCAGAGGAGATCAAGGCTGTATTATTGTACGTCTAGAATCTAATAGGTCTTTTTAAAAACATGCAAGAAGTATAGTACAAATTTATTTGGATCCCCTAGTTGCTAGGCAACATGAGTCAGATCTACTAATTAGGGCTGGCCCCAAATGATCCTCACATAGTACTTTTCATAGCATTAAACAAATTATTCTTTCATGTAAACAACCCTCATCCCCCTGCCTCACTGTCATTCCAACCTATCACTGTCAATCCAGTACTATCTATTCTGAGTGGTAGCAACTATCCAAGTATCCAGATAGTTTTGCTATTGGAGATCCCTTTTCAATTGGTGTTATTGAGACTAAACCTAAGTTTTCTCCCAGTACTTCATCATCAAACTATGCACTTTCCTTTTCAAAAGCTCTTTTCTACTTCTTTCCCCAGCTCCATCTGTTTTCACCCCACCCTTAAAGCAATTTCAGAGGCAAGAAGGGTGAACATATAGTAACAATAGACTATGGAATATAATGCAATAGCTAGACTCTTTCAATCTGTGGGGTCCTTGTTGATCTCTAAGCTTGGTGGTTTTCTTGCAGACATTTCATTAACAAACTCAGTAACTTCATCACTGCACTGATAATGTTACCTAGTTTGCTAATGAAATGTCTGCAAGAAAACCACCAAGCCCATGCAGCACAAGGACCCTATGGTTCAATCCTGAGTTACAAATATTCTGTTTTATTAGTATCTTTCAATCTAGATGTTCTATTAGTACACTATATTTCGTAGTCTATTGTTCTTATAGGCATAGATGTCCATATTCAGTCATGAAGGCCCTGGTCACATCACTCTCCTGCAGGCTAACCTAGGTTGCAGAGATGTTTAGGGCTAAAATGTTATTGCAAATGATTGCAAATCAGATTTAGTCAAGTGAGAAATCACAAGTCTCATGGGATATAATCTGTGGGCCCTTGGTATAGCTCTTTTGAAGTATGAAGGATGGGAACAAATTGCAACTGGGTTAATGTTCTACAGTTGTATAACTGAAATATTATTGGTATGTACCATAATCTTATCCTATGGCATAAAGGTATGTGATGAAAAGAGCCCTTAGATAAGGAAAAGGCATGTGAAAGGCAGTATGGTTAAGGAGGATTTATTAGCCCCTTCTGAAAAATGCAATTGATTATTTCAACTGCATGCCCCACATTCAGCATGTAGCAAAAAAGATTGTAACTAAACTACAGATGAGAGATACTACACACATACACACATACATGTAGGTTGCTTAGTGATTTGGATTCAGTTTGGAAGAAGTGTTAAGGAACAGGACTGTGAATGCAGCATCTGACTGCAACTCATTAAAGCAGCTGCATCACGCAAATCCTAACATATATGTGGGTGTGCATTGTTTTTCAAAAAAAAGGAACAAATTGTTACATTTATAAGCAATATTTTAAATTTGGGAACTTGAGTTAAATATAGTTATCGATTATCAAATTACTTTTTCTCTTTGCTGCAACTGATAATTCTATTAGTTAAAATTATTGATTCATGATAGCTAGGGTCAACATCTTCCATTGATCAAAAAAGGGGCAAAAGTGTAGCAGGAGGCCTTCCATAGTTTTATGGAACTTCGACAAGGATTAAAATGTTTTCTCAACTTCTCCACAATGTGAAAAAAAAATGGTTCAGATTCAGGAGTCCATCAGTTGAGAAGCTCTGGGACTCACAAAATAAAAGCTATTAGCATTCGCACACTTTTTGCACATGCAATAAAACATGCACACACCACACAATCCCAGAATCAGTACTATTTGTATTTATTCGTGTTTTTTAATATAATAAAGAATGGTTGAAGTTTTGAACTTCACTCCTTTTAATGTCTAATTTGAATTTTGGATGCATTCTATTTATCTCCTAAAAGAAAACCAATGAACAGAGTGATTCACCATTTTCCAAATAAATAGCTAAACTCAAGAATGAATGGATGCATTCCTACATAATTCTAACCAAGGATATTTTAACTATAGTTTATTAAACTAGCTATAATGGGCAGATTCGCACATCGTGTTAAAGCAAAAGCAAATAATACCTATTATGGTTTACCAGAATATAAGGGTCCAGAAAACTATTTGACCATATCCATGAATGGCTAGAAGGGAATTTGAACCATGATTCTATACAACTGAAATCTTTTGTCTAATTAGACTTTGTCATTCTCACCCATTATTGATATGCTAACATAGCAAGCCAGAATTATATCGAAATGATGACGCTACATGGTGATGTCACAGTGCAAACTCCACTTTTACTTACGTAAGCTGCGGGATTGTATCATGACATACATTTTGTCACTTTCCCTCTCCCCCCTCCCTTGTGCACCCTATCTACAATAATTTTTCATATGCTCTAATGTTCAAATCCTGAAATGATACAAGAAGACTGACATACTACATCTAATCTGTATTGTGGGCATTTAAATGTATATTGTGCTATAACATTAGATTCTTCTCAGGTGTCTCAATATCTTTCATCAGTAATTATCTATTGCAAGCTATATGTTATTGTCTGCCTTACATTTTCACCAGCATGTATTACTATGCCTGACACTTGCCCAGAATTTAGCATGCTAGTTACACACAAGATGCTTTCCATCTTGTGTGTAACTAGCATGCAAAAGCATATAGGCATAGGTGTTTATAGATAAATCAATGAGAATTACACCATGTTCAGATATTATTACTATCTGGCATCCAGGTTTCAGTTGCCATCAATTATATCCTGTCCAGCTATCAGACTGACTGTGAAGTCACTGTATCTTTGTTATGCCATCTTTCTCTGTCATAAAACAAAAGCTGTCTGGCTGTTGTTTTCGTAATCCCATGTGCCACCTGAGCCCCCTTCCCCCATCTTTTGTACAGAAGTCATGCTACACCCTGAAATTTTGCAAACACACACAATTGCTATAAATCATAAATTATACCATACACGAGGTGACCTTGCTCAAAACCTACACTTGTTAAACAACAACATCTCTAAAAGAAGACAAGAGAACAAAATCAATACACTGCTTTACCTGATGGAGTGCCTGAAGCACGCTGGGTCTGGCATTTTCCTTCTCCAGATCTCGTTCCTTGTCAGAGGATCCTTTCCCAGGTCGCTTATATTTGCAGAAGCAGGTAAGACCACATAAGGCAAGGAGGCTAGTAGCAGTCCCCAATGTAGCTCCCAGAGCAATCACTGGGGCAGACAAAACCATTATCTCAGACTGGGAAGCCACAACTTTTATTCAGCCAGTGTGATCCTCGCTCCTTGCCTTGCAGAACTGAGCCCGATCATAGCTTTTTACAAAGCGTGCAGTAGATCCTCGCAAGCAGTTGATAGAGAAAGTGATTCAAAAGAAACTAATGGATCACTCCTGCTCTGTGAGATGATCCCAGGCGCTCACCATCCCTCCTGACGGTGTTGCTGACTTAAAGCTCCAAGGGAGCCAAGCAGAAACAGAGGAAATAGTAATTCAAATGCCTGCAGCCCTTTTAAGACTGCAAGCAGACAGCTTTCACTGAACTCCTTCTCTAGCTCCACTGGGAAAAGTCTGATGTGCGATAGAATCAGACGTCAGTAAAAAGGGGATGGGCCATGCTGGTCAACTCACAAAAAAATATTTCCAGATCTATGAATGACCCCTTAAAGGAGCAAGCAATAAGCCAGCTTTAAAAACTGCCAAGGCTACTGTTGCTGTCTTAATGTAAAATTACATCATTATGTAAAACAAAAATAACAAAGTTGTTGGATTGACACCTGTATACAGATGGCATTTTTTTTTTTAGGCATGACTATACAAGGGAGGCCAATATGCATATAAAATTTACAACAATGGGATCTCTGCACATTAGCGACATCAAAATGACAGATGTCATTCAACATGACAAGTGTAAAAAGATGCATATTAGTGTCAAATTTTCTAACTACTCACACATCTGAATGCTGTCAGAACTTACAGTGACCAATAAGGTGTCAACGCTGCTAACATCGGGTGTTCTTGCTTTGACAATAGATGAAAATGCAGCCATTTTCTCTATGCTTTCAGAATTAGTTGGTGCTGGGAGAGAGGATTGGGATGAGAGTTCAGTTAGTCATAATAATAATAACTCTGCCCTGGGAATCCAAGGACAAACTGAGCTGATAACATTTTGGCGGGCTGGAGAGCTGGGGAGAAAGCCGATGCTTCAAGCTAATTGGGGAATGTACTTTATGACTGTTTATTGGGGGTGGGAATTGTACTTTGTTACTTTGTATCCAGGGGAATGAAATTTAGTTTTTGGGTTCAGCTATGTAGTGCTGATACTTTGTTTCCCGAATAAAAGATTCTTTAAGGTAAACAAAGCCTCGAAGTTCTTTTGAAGGATTTCATCTGTCAGAGCCATGACATAAGGAAAAACATTTTGGAATAATGATAAACAGTCAACGAAGGTGTTCCATACAGGGTGCATCCACTGTAAAAAAAAAGGGGGGGGCAGCAGCATGTTAGGGATAATAATAATAATAAAACAGTACTGGAAATAGAGATACCAACATTATAATGATTAATATAAATCAATGGTGCAACCATTTTGAATTCAATTCAATGTACTTATTTTTATCCAGCCTTTATTATTTTTATAAATAACTCGATGCGGCAAACATACCTAATACTTCCTCCTCCAATTTTCCCCGCAACAACAACTTTGCAAGGTGTGTTGAGCTGGCCCCAAATCATCCAACTGGCTTTCATGATTAAGGCAGGACTACAACTCACTGTCTCCTGGTTTCTAGATTGGTTCCTAAAATCACTAGACCAAATGGCATCTGGAATATTGTGTGCAGTTCTGGTTGCTGCACCTTAAAAGGGATATAGTGGAACTAGAAAAGCTTCCATGGAGGGAAATTAAGAAGATCAAGGAAAGGTTGTGACATTTTGGAATTATAGTCCAGGAAAGAGATGAATGAGAGGGATGAAACTGACCCGTAGAAAATTATGGGTGATGTGGATAAAGTGGCAAGGAGAAGCTATATTCCCATTCCCCAAATACTAAATCTAAAGGTTACCCTCTGAAATTGAATCCTGGAAAAATCAGGACAGAAAAAAATTGACACAATATATTGTCAAACTTTGCTACCCTAAATTGTGGTGCTGGATACCAGCTTGGCTGACTTTCAATTCATGGAAATCATGGGGATTAATGGCTGTTAGCCCTAAAGGCAATATGATTGCTTCTAATGTCCATCTGTTGGGAGACTAGTGGGCTTCCTTGTGCAGTTAGTTGGCTACTGTGATGGGGTAGGTTTTCAATCCAGCAGAGCACTGCTTATGTTCTTAACAGAGGGGAAAAAGGTATGGAATCACACCTTGAATATAAGCACAAAATACTGATTCAGGGAATGAGATCAGCCCAAACTGAAGCTGTTGTGAACTGTTGTCCTTTACGATTCTGCCAGTGGAATTGTGGTAGAATTGTCGATATTAAAGGAGCTGTACTTTTTCCTGGGCTTACTGAGTAACTATGAAGAAGAAATGATGAGTTAAACTTCATCTGTCACTTCACCAATTCTCCAGGATTTCTCAAAGATAATATATAAAATATTTCTTCTATCACCAGCAAACTCTGTCCTTGCTTTAAAGGATGTGATTCAAAGTCCTCTTTGTCAACCCCTCATGCAGCAGCTCAACACTGTTTAAACTGGCCTAGCTTAACTCCATCTCGTGTCAGAAATCCATCATCTTGATAAGTCAGAACATCATTCCAGAAACAAAATGTCTCTGTTGATACCTCATCTAAATTCAATCATTCTCCTATTCACATACACTTTTCCCCTATATCTGTGAATCATCAACTACCATTTCAGTTATTATTCTCTTCTTGCAAACCTCAACTGCATTCTCTCTAACCTTCAGATATCTGGTCTCTGTTTCCTGTCTCACAGGACTATCCAACTCCTCCACAAAGGTTTGTAACTTCCTCCAAGGCCTCCCCACTGCTTCTGAGTTTTAGAGTCGCTTGTTTCAATTGTCACTTTTATTCACTGGGCTTGGTCCTTTGTTCTATCAGCTTCTGTTGTATTTCCTCCTTAGGTTGCTTTGATAAGTATTCATCTTCCCTTATGTGTTTTAGTTTGGCTCCTCCTGTTCCAGTCCTGGTTCTTTTCTTTAGGTATTGCTAGAAAATAGTATGCTGCAAATGTATTTCAAATACATTTCAATTCAAGGAGAAATACAAACTTACCAGACTAAAGTATTTGTCTTCATTTCTGTTTCTTTAGACATTACTACACAGTTGTTGGGTTTTTTTATTTCCTCTATCTTCCTTTCCTAGGTTAGTCAATCTACTTTGAAAGAGACAATTTGATAGAAACCTATCCTTAAACTCTTCTGCCAAATTCCTCTTCTTTCTATTTAATCAATAGCGTCTTCATTAAAAAATAATTAGCATGACTAGAAATAAAGATGAACCAGCTACTGTAGCTTTTAGTACAGTATGTCTCTACAAATAATTTTACAAGAGCATCTTGTCCTGCTTCTCAAACAGAGGAGGAGATGGTAAGTCTTTTGCTTGGATTTATCATTTCAGACTGAAAGTAGAGCATATATGATGTCATGCTCCCTCTAATAGTCACGTATCATTCACACAACTAGAAAATAAGCTTGTCAGATTTTCCTCTGATGATAGTTTTCCTATGTAAAGAGATTGATTGATTGGCTGGGGAGGCATTGGTTTTATATGAAATGCCACTTGTTTTCTGAAGTGGGATTTCATCATTATCGTCTTCTTCCTCTTCATCATGTTTATAATGTACCATTCAATAAGATGCATAACGAGCAATAGTTTAAAATACAGTTATGATATTGGAATATTAAAGACAATAGGTATTTACAAGTCTTCACATACTGTAATAACATTACAAAAGCAGGACAACATATTAAAAACTGATTTATAGCAATTAAAATGGCAAAACCATTTAAGACTAGATGCAGCAGCATACTGCCCAAAATTGTCAGTAAAACAATTCAATTTAATTTCTGAAATTTACGTGTTATCTGATAATTAAAGATCAGATTTTCAGTATGGCTCAAGCTGCATTCAGCTTCTTCTGTACTCACAGCTGAACTATATATGTTTTAAAACAATTCTTACATATTTTAAACACACACTTGGGAGATGAGCTCTGCTTCTATTGATGGTGACTGGGCAGTAGGGCAGTAGGGATTTAAGTTTGGTGCTTTGTTGGTTTTAATCTAAGCTGCCCAGAGTCACTTATGTAAGATGGGTGGCTGTTTAAATCACATAAATAAGTTGTCCAAAGAGTAATCAGAGGGAAGTGATCCCATAATCTAAGTGCCAGATACTAGCTCTTTGGCATGAAGTGACTCAAAGGAAAAAGGCTCAAGCAAAAGTGCCAATGAGACTGGATAATTAATGCAAGGAGGAATCCATAAAGAAATAAGAAAAAAAGATGGAGTGTTGCAGAAAAACTCTTGAGTTACCTCAGCTCTACAACATCTACCAGACTAAGAAACCAATACCATATAGGTCAGTACTATTTTTACCCTAACAGCTATTATAACAGAATCTTGCAAGTCTAAATAAGCTTCTCCCCACCTCTCTTTATTTTCATGTGAACTGTGGAAGGACTTGTCCAGGTCCCTTTCTCAAGTTACTTTCTTGCCCTGGATTCAGGTTCCTCTTATCTAATTGTTGCCCTGGCAGTGGCTCCTCCTCTTGTCCTTCAAGGCCATTTTCTTTTCCCTTTACAAGAGTATACAGAAACCCTTATGAGGAAATACAAAAGTGGTTTCATAAAAATCAACTGAAGCCTGAACAAGAGGAAGAACTGAGAAAGGAATTAAAGTTTTCCCCCTTCTGATTCTCTTTGGTACTGGGGAAGAGAGATCCCATCAGGCTTTCAAGTTCTTGTCATTATTATCTTATAATCATGTTTTGCGATTCCATACCATACAAAGCATAGAGGAGAAGATCAAAGAATATGAGGCAGACCCAGAAGAAGATTTAGATACAACATCAAAGATATACTACAACAGCATCAAATAACAATTGTTGAGGCCACCAGAAGAGCAAGAAGCAGATCTTTTTACTCCCTTGACGCCTGAAGCAGTAAAAGAGGAAGTAAAGAAGAAGAATCATGAAGTAAAGTTTCAGTGGTTCATGTGATGCTCCCTGACTTGGCCTACCGAGAAGATTATAGAGAGGTGAAGGGCTCTTTGGATATAAAAATATGGAAAAGCTCCAGAAGGTTCAAGACAAAGTGAATATCACTGTTCTGGACCCAGAACAAGGGGGAAAAGGCCAAAGAGGAAAGACCTGACACAGGTTCACCATTGCAGGTGCTGCTTCTGGGAAATAAAATGTTTAAAGCAGAAATTTCTGCTTTTGGGAATCTTATAGCTCAAATATCCAAGTATCCTCTATGTGTTTGAAGGTCTTTCCAAATAGGTCATTGGCATCTGCATTGCCACCGGCACTGCATTTTCATGAAATATTCATCTATGATAATTGTCAGTCATCTGTGTAAG